AGTAGCTGGGACTACAGGCATGCGCCACCATGCCCGGCTAATTTTTTCTATATATTTTTAGTTGTCCAGCTAATTTCTTTCTATTTTTTTAGTAGAAACAGGGTCTCCCTCTTGCTCAGGCTGGTCTCGAACTCCTGAGCTCAAACGATCCACCCGCCTCCGCCTCCCAGAGTGCTAGGATTACAGGCATGAGCCACCGCGCCTGGCCTATTTTCTCCAATATATTTTAAAATAAGTTCTGAGAAGGAAAAAATGATTTATAATTTTATCATTGCAGGTTTATCTGTACCTCTTGCCATTTTATTTTTTCCCAAGTTACTTAAATGGATGAATATTTAAATCAACTACGACCAAGGTTTCGTTTTGTATATAACCCATAGTTTAAATCTGTATTCATGAGCAGTAAAAATTTGATCCATTATTTTTTTTTAAAAAAAGGATGAATTAGCAAAATATGTCCTGACATGGAATGCTCTAAGACATGCTGTTGAATAATAATAATAAAAAAAACCCAAACACAAAGTTACTGACACATACAGCACACAATGTGCATAACGCAACCTGACCGAGTACCATGTGTCTGCCTAGGATACGCATGTCTATGTAAACGCACCGCACTGGTCTGGAAGGACACACACGACCTAACAGCAGCTGTCACCTTTGGGAGGGGTGGGATGGGGGTCAGTCAAAGAGACTCAAACTTTATCTGTGATTTTTCCATTTCTCACAGTGAGATGTCATGGTTATGTAATTTGTGTACTTAAAAGTTAATTTTTAAAAACAGCCACAAAAAAATTACAAGGCCATTTACTACTGCTTCAGGCTGCTGCTGCAGGCTAATCTATTCTGGAACGCCACTGTTATCGTTGACCTTTGGTTACAGATTTTTACAAATTTTGTCACTCTTCTGCTCGAAAGTCCCTATGGCTCCCCACTGCCTTGGGAATACAACCCAACTCCTTAGGCTGCTGCCAGCCAGGGTGTGCACTGGCGCCCACAACACCGCCTTAGCGCCCTGCTCCTGAAGACCTTGGACGGTCCCACTGCCGGGCCCTTGCGTGTGCAGTTCCCTCCCAGAACGCTCTCCACGCGCCTCTCTCCCTACGCATATCCTACTCGTGCTTCAAGGCCCACTTGTGACCTCTCCACCTCTGTCCCTAGAGCCCTACTGTCCCTGGCCTTCATGTGCTCTTAGCCTCTGGGCTCAGCCCTTTCCCTGATCACTCGGGACACTGATAACCTTTCAACTGTCATTGTTCCTGAGGAATGAGAATGTTTATAAATTTTACTATCTCAATTAGCCTGCACAAAAGTCCAGTGAGCAGATACTACCATTACTATTCCTGTTACATTAAGCAGAAGCTCAAGCTCAGACAGGTTAAGGGCCCTGCCCAAGGGCACACAGCTAGTTAGTGGTGGAACTGCTAGTTACACAACGGCCAGTTCGCAGTTTATCTTTGCCACGAGACTAAAATCTCGTGCTTGCTGCTCGTTCACCCTGGTGCACCTGACATTTACTGGTTGCTAAATAAATATGAATTAAATGAATAATGCCCACAAACGCCTTAAAATGCAAGCACCTTCTTTATAAAATAACAGCAAACATTCAGCTCACTTGCCAGGCCCTTTCTAAGTGCTACAGGGATTGCCCCGCCTAGTACCAGCAACCACCCCAGGTGCATTTTGTACTACTGTTGGTGCCACAACGAGGACCTGAGGCTCAGAGGAGGTAACTGGCTTACCCAATGTCATACGGCCAATAGAGAGGCCGGCATGGGGGCCACCTTCACCCGTTTTCGGCACCCACTGTAGCCCATTCCTATTGTGCAGGCTGCTCTGTCCCCTCTCTCAGGGATAAAAACAGACCGTGGGCAGTGAGATGACTCTCTCAGTGTCATTCAGCAAATCAACAACTGTGGGTTCTGGAGACCCCAGAAGGGCCCACCTGTGCGCCCCGTTCTCAGTCACTGAGGGCACGCTCCCCAGGCTTGTCTTCGCGCCTACCCAACATATCAGCAGGCACTCCGTAGAAGTCACCGGGCACAGACCCCTGGAGGATGGTGACGGGAGAAGCAGCCACTCCTCATGGAGGCCATGAGGCACCCGAGGGACAGCCCGGCCGCCCACGGACCATGGCACTACCCGCCACTGCGGCGCTCCTGGGCACTCACCGTGCTCAGTGGACGGGGCGGGGGCAAGGGTGGGAGCACGGTGAGAAGCTTAGCAGCTCCATCCAGATGCGAATTGTCCCTCCCACACTTCCCGGGCTGCAGGGGCCTCCATTAGAGCCCCCGGAGGAGTCAGAATCCACACCTCCGCAAATGGGCCGCTTTCCCAGGGCCCCCCTGCCCAGACCTTCCCCAGGCTCTGTGGGTTTTGACACCTCTCTGTAACCTGGCAGGGGGGCCACCTCGCACCTTTGGTCCAGATAAAAGCTCAGGCCTGGAGGTGACCAGCCCAGCCTCCCACAGCCTGCAGCCCGGGCCATGGCTCAGTCGCCTCCGCAGAGCCTCCTTAGCCACGACCACTGGATCTTCTCCCAGGGCTGGGGCTGGGCCCACTCGGACTCCACGTCCCCGGCCTCCTCCTCGGACTCGTCGGGTTCGTGCCCCTATGACAGCTCCCGCGGCCCCTCGCAGCCCGCACCCCCCGCCTGCAGCTCCAGCGCCGCGGAGGCCACTCCACCGGCGCCCCGACGTGCTCGGACCTGGCCGGCTGGCGGGCAGCGGCAGAGCGCCAGCGAGCGCGAGAAGCTGCGCATGCGCACGCTCGCCCGCGCCCTGCACGAGCTGCGCCGCTTTCTGCCGCCGTCCGTGGCGCCCGCCGGCCAGAGCCTCACCAAGATCGAGACGCTGCGCCTGGCCATCCGCTACATCGGCCACCTGTCGGCCGTGCTGGGCCTCAGCGAGGAGAGCCTGCAGCGCCGGCGCCGGCGGCACAGCGACGCGGCGTGCCCCCGGGGCTGCCCGCTCTGCCCCGACGGCGGTCCCGCGCAGGCGCAGATGCAGCCGCAGGTGCAGGTGCGCGGCCCGGGCCTGGGCTCAGCTACCCACGCAGGGGCGTCCTGGGGGTCCCCGCCCGCCTGCCCTGAAGCCCAAGTCTTGCCCGAGACGCGCGACCCGCTGGTGCTGCACGCCGAGGCGACACGTCCCGAAGGGCAGGCGATGGAGCCGAGCCCCTCCTTTCCGGTTAGTACCTCCTTCCGCGTGCGACCCCGACACACAGCCCCACTGCGAGGACCGGCCACCCTGCCGCACCGCCGCCGGCAGCCTGGTCTCGCCTGCTGGCTCTTGGAGCAAGGTAGTGTGCCCAGGGCGTCAAGCAACGAGGGGAGGGAGAGGCCTCTCAGGGGACAGGGTCCAAAGATCCCCGAGAGTGCAGCCTACGAGCACGGACACCGGCACGTGGCGTCCAGTGCTGAGGGCTACGCTGTTCTCTCTCTCCTTGCAGCTCTTTTCTGGCGACGTGCTGGCCCTGTTAGAGACCTGGATGCCCCTCTCACCTCTGGAGTGGCTGCCGGCCTGAGGAACCCTCGTGACAACGGACAGCAGGTGCCCTGTCTGTGAGCACCGAAGCTTTTTGGCTTCCACACCTTCAAAATGGTTCCTCTCCAGACTGCCTTTCCTGGAAGAGGGCACCAGTGATACTGGCATGGACATTCCTGCAGGTGACAGCCTGTCCCCATCCAGGACAGCCCTCCCCAGCCCCTCCCTCGATGGAGGGACCCATAGGGTAGACACTTTGAAGCAGGCAGGAGTCTGTCTGTACCTAGCGTGAATTTATTTATTTATGAATAAACAAACTGTGCCGGTGTCAGTTGGCAATTGCTTCTTCCTCCAGGTGGACACGCAGCTCCCTCTCTCCCCTCCAAAGAAGAACATGGGGAGTTGGGAGTGGCTCTTGCAATCTTCAGTCCCGCAAACCCACAGGCCCAGGCCCCTTCCACCTTGCCCCCAGCCCTGGCTCAGCATATCCTGTTCCAGGTGGGTCATCCTGGAAGGGTAGGGTGGGGCCTTCCTAAGATAAAGTGGCAGCAAGTAGAATCTGTTTATCTTTTCTTTGAACTTGATGGGGAACTGGATAAAACCAAAGTATCTCCGTAGAAAATACGACTCTATTATTGAGTACTTTTTGTACATCAGGTACCGTACACATATTACACCCCAATAGCCATTTTACAGAAGAATAAGGATTTTGTTAGCTCCATTCATTCTGGGGCTTGAGGGGGGACCAGCTCCGTGGGGTCATTTCACTGTGTCCTGAGGCTTTACTACCCTTGTGCTGAAGCATCCTGGCCTTGGACCCTGGGATTTTCCCATCTCCTTTCTCTCTGGTTTCCCTCTCACGTGGTTTAGGGACATAAATAACATCAGTGGGGCAGTCCTGAGTTTATGTAACCATGACCTCCTAGAAGCCTAGCTAGGATGAGATGAGGGGCCTGACAGGTTGCATGCAGATGCACACAGATGACCTTCAAGTAGTCAGCTGCTGTGCTGCCATCTGCATTGGCTGGTTTCGGATCAAGGCAGCACTGTGTTGGGGAGAGGGAGCCTTGAGCCCAGAAAGAGTGTAGCCTCAGCCCGCCATGGAGCAGTCAGGCTTGGAGGGTGGGCCGGGGTGGGGCGAGGGGGTGTAGTCTCTGCCAACCCTCTCCTTCACCCTCTGTAGATACCCAGTTCTCTCCTCCCCCTCAGGTGTCTGGAATAAAGGCCTTAGTGTGTTTTATAAGAGCCTTGTTGAGATAGAATTCACACACTATAAAATTCACCCTTTTAAGGTGTACAATTCAATGGCTTTAATATGTTCATGGAGTTGTGCAACCATTGCCACTAATTTTAGGACATTTTCACCCCCAAAAAGAAACCCTGCACCCATTAGCATCACCCCCCATTATTGCCCCCTCCCAGCCCCTGGCAACTAGTCATCTACTTTCTGTCTCTATAGGTTGCTTATTCTGGACATTTCATATAAAAGGAGTCATAATGTATGGCTTTTTGTGTCTGCCTTCTTTCACTGAGCATGTTTTTAAGGTGCATGTATGTTGTCTCCTGTACCAGAACGTCATTCCTCTTTATTGCCCGTTAATGCACGACACCACAGTTTGTTTATCCGTTCATCCATCGATGGTGATGGGTTTGTTTCTAAAGCACTTCAGAGGTCATTTCTAATGCTCTGGCCCTGGCCAGGGAAGGGTGGTAATGCAAGTGGGGTCGGGTCCCCAATCTGCAGTTCAGGGGTCCAGGCCTGAGCAGGGCGCCCCTTGGCTGGCGTTTGGCTGCGGAGAGTGGGATCCAAACACTGAGGCCTTCGGGTGGTGGGATCTCACACCTCCGTGACCCCCCTTCCTGCACCTCTGCCCCATCTCTCACTCCCCTCCCAAGACCCTGACTGGGGTAGGGCGGGAAGTCTTCTGCTGGAGCCAACCCAGCTTACAAAATCTATTTGCATGGCAAAGGCCCTGCGTTTTAGGATGGGGAATTAAAGTTATTAGCAAGTCTTTTCACAGATAAGTGGGGCTCATTGGCCAGCCCACTTCCCTGCAGAGGGCCTGTCCTCCCGCTCAAAGCAGGGAGCAGCCCACTGTTTATTAGCACCTGGGTGTGAATTTTCATTAACAGGCCCCTGCTAATAGCGGCTGAGACAGAAGACTGGAGATAGGAAGGGTCGCCTCCCACCCCAGCCCCTCTTCCTGGCCCTATGCCGGAGGAAACCCCACCTGCTCATCCTCGGCGAGAACACCAGTGTCCAGGTAGGCACCCGTGCCAGGTGGGAGGGGAGCCTCTCTCCCTTCAGTTCTCAGCCCACCTGTGAGGTGCCCCCAGTTACAGGGCCATGTGAAGAAGGGGCGAGTTAAGTAAGGAAGAGGCTAACTAAGGTGCCCGTACAGATGCTAAGTGGCAGTATTGGGATTTGGACCCAGGTGTGACCCCAGACCTGTGTACTTAACCGCTGGGTGCACTGCCCTGGCTAAGCTGAACACCAGCTTGTCCCAAGAACAAAGGGTCCTCAGCGGCACCTGCCCTCCCCTGAGGCTCTGGCAGGGTGCTCAGTCTGCAGTGGTCTGGGCCCAGGCCCAGCCCGGTGTGAGGCGGGAGTGAGGAGTGCACGGGGATGGGGGCGTTCTGGTCACTGCTGGCCATCAGCTGCCCCGTGTCCCACAGAGCAGCCTTCATAGTCCCACCTGGTCAGATGCCAGTGGTAGAGAAACGAGCATTTCAGAGCGGCGACCGTGGGCCAGGCTGCGTGCTTAGGGCTCGAAACTTGCTACCTAATTTCAACTCGTTTTAGCCGCAGAGCTGCTGGAGAGGTGGGCAGTGTGCACTTATCCCTGGGTCACACATGAGAAGCTGAAGCCAGGGAGCTCGAGGAACTTTCCACAAGCTAGACGTGGCTACTGGGGAAGAGGACAACTGTGGGTGGGCAGTTGACAAATCCTGTATTTGGAAAAGCCGTGGCAGGCAGGTGTGTGCGTGTGTGCGCGCGTGCGTATCGGGGGAGTGTAGAATAAAGTTCCTCACACGCACTGGCCGCCAGTGTCGTTGCCAGCAGGGAACCTGCTTCTGCTTGCTGACCACACCAGTACTGTGTAGACGTGGATGCGGATGGGCCAACATCTTGAGGGGCAGCTAAGTTGACTGTTGTGCATTCAAGCAATTTATTCAAGGACATGCCACGGTCACAGTTTGAACGCAGGGACAGAGGAAGAGGAGTGGTGGTCAATGACTGTCCGCAGAGCAGGGCTGGGAGCTTGGCTAGGTTTCGGGTGGGGTGGGCGGTGCACCTGGAAGGGGGCTGAGCTCAGGTCCAGCCGGGACTCGATCCTCACCATCCCCTGACCCTAAGCAATCCTCTGGTCTTAATAAGCAAGGCCATCTAAGTGGTACATGGAGGCCTCACGACTCTGAAACACTCCCTCCTGGAGGACTGGGGTAGCACAGGGCAAAGTCCCTGCTTGTCCCACCCCTGAGAGCGAGTGCCTCCTTAAATTTTGCACCCGGACACTCGTTTGCCTCACCCTAGTCCCAACATTCCCCTGAGAAGACAGAAGGTTCTTGATGTATCCAAGGGGCTCTGTCACTCAAGGGGCAAGGACTTCTTTTGGGGCCACTGGCATGGCCCGCTCAGCCTGGTGGCGCGCTGGCCCCAGGTGGCTGGAGTCGGGCAGCCCAGCCTCCTGTTGGGGATCCCCAGCCTCATGCTGACTCTGCCAGACCCTGCTGCCTTCTCCCCTGTCCCTCTTGTGGGACCCAGCACGTAAGGCTCCTTGTGACGCCTCAGCTCCCCTCTCCCTCCCACCCCTTCCTCACACCCTTCCTCACCCGCTAGGAAACTGGGAGGTGGCCTGATGTTGGCAGCGGGTGACTTTGGAGAGGGAGGAGCTGGGTTCCCCATCGGGCTCAGCACCCCTCCCACCTTCTTCCCCCACGGCCCTGTCAGTTTCCTTTCCTCAGCCGGCTCTTCCCCTCTTCCCCTCATCCGGCCTAGTTTGGGGGGCGCGAGCCTCACCCCCTCCAGGGATGGGCACGTGCCACAGGCCTGCACCGGCAGGAATGAGGCCACATTCAGGCCGGTGAGGAGCAGGCCGAGGGCTTCGCCAGAACAACTGACAAAGGACGTTTACTATGGGCGCTGTTAGCGGTGACCCTGAAAGGGGGATTAGAACTGAGAGACGGAGGGGGATTCCGGACGCTATTTCGATACGTGGATCCAGCGTTACTCCCGGCTGTCTAAGTTATCTGAGCCAACAAACACCCCTTTTTGCGAAAGGCAGTTCGAGTTGGGTTTCGGGCAACTGCTGTTGAAACAGGACTGGATACAGGCTGTTGTAAGCTGTGTAACCTGAGTCTCAACTTCCCGCTCTGTAAAATGGGGATAATGATAAGATCTGTGTTTGACAGGCGACTGAAGGCTTAAATGTAAAATACACAAACCACATAAACGCTGGTTCCCCGTCACCTTCAGGTGGTGTGTGAGGCCAAGATCCTCTTCCTGAATCCTCCTCCCTAACCTCAAAAGAGAGATGCCACGGTGCCTGCTGTGTGGCGGAAAAGAATGACCGTAGAAAGCTACTTTTGCCGCTGCGTTACCAATCCCATGGCGGCGAGGGGAGGGGGCAGAGTGTCTCAGGCAGGGACCCATCCATCCAACGGGACATCCAGACAGTCAGTGTCAGTGCCATTAGGGAGCTGTTTGCCAAGAGAAGTGTACACAGCCCCAGGGCAGTGTACCACCCTGCAGGCTGGGAAAAGCTAGCACCTCAGTTCTCAAAGGAACCACACGGTGTCCTCAGAGACGCAGACATATCCCTGGAGCTGCTGGGGACCCCTCGTCTAGTTTTTCTGGGAGGCGCCTCTCTGCCCTGCTCCTGGCCCCCCAGCCTCCTCTAGTGTTCCCAGCCCAGCCCCACCTGCCACCACACCCCCCGACCCTGCCTCATTCCTGTGGCCTCAGGCCGTCGTCCCACCACCCAGCCTCAGCCCTGTGAGTGATTCTGTAAGGTTAGGAGCCAGCAGAGAGGGGGAAGCGGGTGGAGAGCACAGGAGGCCACACGGCTGGCGCCTTGCTTGCTTGAGGAAAGTGGCCCTCCAGGGCCCAGGGGGTGGGTGGTCCTCACCAGGCCTGGGCCTCTGGTTGAACCCATCGGCAGGGCGCTGCTGGGGTCTGGGCTGGGTGGGAATGACGGATGACACACCACGGCAACTTGGGAGTCTGGGAACAACATCGCTGTTTATTTGGGTGCACATATGCCCACCTGAGGGCTCTGACTAGAGGATTAGTGGTTGAAGGTCCCCAGAATAACACCTTTCCCCTTGCTGGCTCTGCAGAGGTCCCAGACGCGAGTCCAGGCCCCTTGAGCCGGGGCTCTTTGCGTGTCTCTTGGCCGCTGGGCATCGTGAGGAGCAGCTGCCTTGTGGCTGAAACCTTTTCAGAGAGCCCCAAGGCGGTGGCAGCGTCACTTCCTGAAGTTCTCTCTTTGCAGAAACAAGGAGTACCTCCGCAGCCGGGCCGAGTGCTCCTGCTCCGTCACCTGGTTCTTCTCCAGCAGCTGAAAGCTGAGGCCACACAACCAGTGAGGAGAGGAGCCTCCCCACTCCCGCGCCCCGGGGCAGACCTCGACCCCCTGCGCTAACACGAGACCTCTCAGAGGACACACGTGCTTCGCCTCTGTGGCCTCAGGACTCAGGTGCACACAGCAGGTGCTCAGAAGGCCCGCACGGAGGAATGCCGGGGCTGCCGTCCTAGCCCGAGGTGCACACTGATAGACCGGGAGAGCGAATTTTCCCCCAGTTCACCGAGACACGCGACGGGAGAATTGAGGAACTAAAAGTCCATCTGCAAACAAAATGTGGTGGATGCCTACAAGGGGCCACTGAGCCTTAAACAGGAAGGCCACGCGCTGCAATGTGGACGAATCTTGAGGATTCCACTTTTATGAAGATGTTTGAGTTGCGTCTTTTAAAAGGTAAGAGTTGTTTTTTTAAAAAATAACAAATAAATGTATGTTCCTTACAGAACCATCCAAGAAGCCCAGAATCGGCCCTCACTGTGCAGAGGTGGCACGGTTAGCAGGGCGGCGTCGGCCTCGGTTCTGGAGGGTCGTGGGTGTGGTGGGGAGGGGCGCGGCCTGGCGGCGGCTGCTGCCTTGGGTGCTGGACAGGACGGAATGATGTAGAACACTTAGGGTAAACAGGAAGAGGAACACTTTTGGGGAGAAAGAGGATTGTAGTTTTGCTTTGTTTTGAGGCTCTGCACATGGGACATCTATGTGGAGATGAACATTTTTTTAACTTACAAAAGTAATCTATACATTGCTTCTTTTAAATAAAATCAAAGAACACAAGTGGATACAAAATTAAATCTCCCTCTTACCTCAGATCCTTATTTTCTGTTCCCAAAGCAAGTAATTAACAACTTCTTGTAGAGTCTTTAAAATTCTGACACACACACAAGCTCAGACCTGCATGTGATCTTTTGCTTAAGCGTAAATGCAAGTGTGCAACACACTGTCGTGCGCCCTGCTCTTTTCACGTCAAAGCTGTCCTAGAAATCGCCCCTGGGCAGCGCTCACAGATCTGCCTCCTTTCCCACGATGGATCACACTTGGGGTTTCCTGCCTTTTGCCAGGATAACCAGGGCTGCAGTGGACGTCTTGGCCTGCGGTCGTCTTTGCGCGTGTTTCGGGGCAGGTGGGCGGGTGGGAGGCAGAGTGGTGGCACAGGTTAGAAACTCAGGCTTTAGCCTCACACTGCTCGTGTTCGAACCCTGCCCCTTCCCTTTCAAGCTGGTGACCTTGGATGGGTGATCTGACCTCTGTGAGCCTCGGTCCTCTCCCTGTGCAGTGAGGATGATAATACTGACATAAAAGATTGTGCCCACAAAGCACTCAGCACAGTCCCTGGCACGTAGTAGGTGGTCAATAAAGGTTAATCATTACGCTACTGATGCTGCTGCTGCTAAGTAAGTGGAAGTGAAACTGCTGGGTCAAGGGCGGGAACAACACAGCCCCAGCGAGTGACCGTGCCGGGGGCAGCCGCATAGATGGAACGAGAACAAGTTTTAAAAGGAAGGCCAGAAACGAAGCCATCCATGTGCTCAGACAGAACATGGGTGATTTTTAAAATATAATGTTGGTGTGCGGAAGAGCTGTCTCCTTGTATCTAGTAATAAATAATAAGCAATGGCTAGCCTGCTCTGAGTGTGCCAGGCAACATCCTATGAGGAGATGTGACCGTCACCCCATTTTACAAAGAAGGTCACCAAGGTTTGCCCCAGTCACACAGCTAGAGGGTGCCAGAGTCAGGTCTTACCCTGAACTCCCCTCTACTCTAATCCTTGTCCCGGCGGGATTGCGGAGCTGGCACCCTGACTTGGAGACTCACTACAACCACCCTGAGCGAAGCCCAAGGGAGAGGCTGAGAATTCCAGCCGTGAGACACTGAAAACTTCTGTCTGGCTGGACAAACAATCAAAACAACTTCAGAGACAAACCAAGAAAAGTCATCTGCAACACACTGACAAAGAAGTCTTAAAATCAAAAGAAAATGAGCACATCCATGGGGAAACACCCAGGTGAGGCACAGGAGAGAGAGAAATTTATAATATGCATGACAAAATGATGCTCAACCTCCTTCATTTCCAAATGAAAATAATACTGAGCTACGGCTGCTTGTCCCTGTCTAGCCAGCTGGGAAGGGGTGAGGCCTGGGCATCCTCCCGCGGAGCCACAGGAACGCCAGGCCGCGTCTCGGGAGCAGCACTGCATGGACACTCTCTGTTCACCCGCGCCGATCCCAGATCCCACAACTTTGCAGTCTGCCTCCAGCTTGCCCTACGGAAACATGGGGGCAAACTCCCCAAATGGCTGTGTGAGGACGGTGGGTTGGAACGGTGGGGCCGGACTGAGCCACGGGAGTCTGCAGAGGGTGGAGGAGCAGAGGAGAGGAGGACGCAGGGGTGGAGTGTGGACTGCGCTTCCCCCAGCCAGCTCCAGCTGTGGCTGTAGAGCTAGGAAGGTGCATGCTCTTTGTGCGCTAACATGGGAACATGGTGACATTATCCCATAATTAGGACAAGCCATCAGAGAGGAGGAGACTGCCAGCCAGATGAAAGAGAAGATAAGCAGAGGAAGCGAGGGCTCCCTGTCTTGGGGAAGGGGATGGGCTGGGACCTCAAATCCAGGGGCAAGTATTAAATGTCAGCCTCGGGCATGAGCAGGGCACCTGTTTCTCTGAGTCAGGAGGCAGGTGGGCTGTGCGGGTGGGAAGTGACTCGGGTGACCCAAGGCAGAGGGCAGTCAAGGGACTGGGGTGCTGTGCGAAGCAGGAGTTGAGCCAGGCGGGGTGGTAGGAGATGGCCGTGTGCGGAGTGGACACATGGAGGCTGGGCGGGGCCCCTGCCCAGCACCAGTCGCCTCTGCAGTGTGACTTCCTTGGACAGTGCTCGGCAGCGAGGAAGGATGGGGAGGGTGGCTCGTTCATCTGAAGCTGGCACTGACTGGCAAGGGGGTTTATGGGAACCCCCTGGTAAAAGCCCTCTAGGGAGCCTGCGACACCCTCTCTCCACCATCAGCAAACACAGATTTCCCCTCCCAGGATGGCAGGACACACCGCTTCCTCCTGTTTCCTACTGTTCTGAAGCAAGGTACTGACAAGTGTGTGTGCATCTTCCGAAAAGACGGGCTGCCCGTCACAGGCTGGGAGAGAAGGTGTAACATCATCTACCTGCCGGTCCCCGAACAAAGCCTTTGCATCCAAACAGCCTGACTGTGTGCACATCTGGGGTCTACGAAGCTATAATTTCAGGAGAGATTCATCCTTTTGCTTCTCAAGAAGGGCAAAGGAAAGTTAAGATAGGCCCACAGTTTCAGCCCCAGGGACGGTAACGAAGCGGGGCAGAATACCATTCCTCACCCTCCTCCTCCAACCTTGAGGGAAATGTCACCTGGCGCCCACACAGGCCTTGCCTGCCCATTGCCAGGGGGGCTGTGTGGATTGTGGACTGTGGGGTCATCCCGAAGCCCACGTTCTGGCAGGAAGCTGGGTGGGGACAACCTTTTGCGTGGCATTCCACAGGGAATATGGAGAAAAATCTTTGTTTCTGTTTCCTAGTGTCCTGAAAATTCTGTCTTGTGATCAAGTTTGACCAGCCAGAGACAAGAAGTCGAGCCAGAAGGAAATGGTCCCGCTGAGGCCTGGGCTGGAGGGGAGCAGAAGTCAGGCCCCGGGCAGGGCGGCACATTTGGTGCTAACTGGCCTCCTTCCAAACGCCTGAAGGCAGGCGGTTCATGCCGGCTATTTACCAAAGTCCCAGTGTGGGTTTTGGGGAAACAATTGGGACAGACTGTTGAAACTCTGAATCAATTGCCACACCAACTGCCTTAAAGTTGCACCTAGTTTTAGGGCCAATGGAAACTATTGCAGACATGGGAGTAAACAGAAAAAAAAGATTAGAATCTCTGGGGCATATATGGATATGTGTGATAAAACAAGGACAGTCAAGTGTCAATGACGGGGTCTAGAATGTAGGTACACGGGGGTTTACTGAAATGTTTTTCAAAGCTGCTGCATGTTTGGGAACTTTCATCATCAAATGTTGGGGAGCACTCTTTGGGAAAGCCCAGACATCACAACTTTGAGCAAGTACAACAGGAAAAACCTTCTTTAAATTGTAGTGTTTCCCAACCCAAACCAGAGCTGGGTTGCCCCAGGGCATGTGATTTGGATAATATGATCAGGGCTAAGTAAAAGTTCCTTCAAGCCGGATCCCAGGAACCAGGACCTGGGCCTGCCCCAGCCACATGCTGTGTTCCCTCCCAGCTCGCCTTAGCTTTCCTGTTGCCCGATGCTCCCCCCGCCCAGTCAGCCTCCAGCCCTGCTCCTGGCCCCCAACGCCCCTGTGGTCAGCCCTGCTGACTCACGCCCTCTTCCCTTAGGAGGCATTCCCCTGCACCCCACCCAGCTGCTGGGGGGCCTTCCTGGGGAGGGGCTGGGGCTGGGGCCTAGGAGCTAAGCTGTGTTGACAAGGAGGGAGACATCTGGGAAGGGGGAGGTGGAAGCGTCCCCCCCATTCTCTCTTGAGGGGCCAGGATGGGCCTCTGGTGTTCCAGAGCCTGGGGGAAGTCAGGGCAGAAAGGATGGTCGTCTAATTCGAGTAGTTCGAAACACAGAGGCGTGAAGTAAATTACAGACATTCTTCCTATGGAATATTACGTGGGCATGAAAAACCGTATTTACAAAGATGTTTTTCTCAAAATTAAAAAGTCTTCAAGTTATGTTCTGGAATGACATAAATCCAGATAAAAAAGTGGATGAGAAACGTGATCTCATTTCCTGACAATGCCAAGGGGAAAAACCGGAAAGGAAACGCACCGACACAGCAGTGGCGGGGCTGGGGATCTTGGGTGGTGGGATTATGTGTTATTTAAATTTTCTTTTTTGTGTTTTCCTGCTTTCCAAATTTCTACTAAAATACAAGTGAATATATATTATAACTTATATCGCAAATAACAAATATACTTTTTCACATTGGGAAATCACTCTGTGGAGGTAGTAGTCCTGTGCTCGAATCAGCTTTCACGGGCTAAGTGGGCTCAGCAGGTGTCTGAGGGCAGGTCCCCTTGGTCAAGGCTGAGAAGTGTCCATTAGGCTGCAGCCAGGTGGGAGTGAGCTGCCCAGAGCTGCCACCGTACCTTGGCCCCTGCCCACAGGTAGGGCAGCCTGTTGGCCTTGGGTGACGTGGGAGGGCTCATCCTTTCCAGGCTAGGAAAAGGAGGGGGTTAGACAAGAATAAGCAGTAAAAGAAATAAACTCATCAAACAAAGGGTGCTTGAAGCCTCAAGTGAGAGCGCTAGAAAGCTTCTGGCCAAGATCCCCTCCCCTGGACAACTGCTCATTGCAGCCACGACTGACCCTCATGCTCTTCACTTAGTTTTTCACCATCATTTTTAATTTCTTTGCCAAAATAATGCATATGTTTTTGTAAAAAAGTTGCAAACAGAGAAAACAGAAAAAAACCACACATACTTCTATCACCTGAACATAACCAATGTTACCACTGGCGTACATATTCCCAGTTTTCTCTTTCTTTTACTCAAAATCAGGATTATACTGTAAATTGTATTTTATAACCTCTCCCTATCTTTTAATTTTGAAAAATCTCAAACCTATAGAAAAGTTGCAAGTAGTGCAATGAACCTGCACCTAGATTCACCAGTTGTTAACATTTATCTCCCTCTTTCTCTCTGTCTCTAGAGATATCTTCCTGGACCACTCGAAAGTAAGTGTGGGCATCATGACACTCCCCCGAGTTCTTCAGCTGCGTGTCCTGAGAGCAGGTCACCAGGGCTCAGCATGAGAACCTCCTTGTGAGGGAGAGCTGAGCATTCCTGGTCAATCTTTAGTTAGGGACAGTGTCAACGGTCCCCTTCTTCATTTTCCCTCTCCCCCAAGGCTCGTGACACCACATTCCTCTATATTCCTCTCCTGGTCAATGTGCACACTGCCCTCCACGAGATACTGCCAGCCACCCAACAACCCACTACGGCACTGGACACAGAGAAACGCAGGCACGAGACGGAAAGCAAAGAGGAGCTGGGTGTCACCTTGTGGTGACATTTAGGATTTTCCCAGGCATGGACTTGGATTAACAGGGAGGGGACACGTCATCCTTGTCATACCCACATTTATTGAGCAGCCACCCCATGCCTGGCACTTTTCATGTGCTGTCTCCCTTAATACGCACAAGCCCTAAAAATGAGGCATCATTAAAGTGGCCAGAACTCAGCTGGGCACATCTTGGGGGAGAATTACATATTTTTGAATGACTGAGGAGACCGAGTCTCTGAGAGGTTGAGTGACTCACCCAAGGCCCCACAGTAAGTGGGACCCTGAGAACCGAGCCCCGGTCTGTTTGGCTCCAGACCCGCATATCTTACCCGTTCTACTTCACTCCTCCCTGCAGGAAGAGTCTACACGGAGAAAGGGGGAACAGTCGTGAAGGGGCGTGTGGCCACTGAAGAGCTCGCAGACTCTCCGAGCTTACGCACATAAGGATGAGGTGGCCCTGGAAGGACAGGGAACTGCCAACGTCGCCCAGCTCTGTGGCGGCAGGTCTGGGGCTAGGATCCAGGTCCACTGATAACTCCAGTCTGCCCTACGTGTGTGGTCAGATCACAGGGGAATTGTCAACACGAATTTGCAAATCCCCAGAAATTTGTCGTGAGATGGATTAGAAGAGACACCTGCTTCTCCAGAATGGACCGAGTCCCGTTCAGTGTGCTTCTAGAGCAGAAAGGAAAGCAGACAACTGGTCGTTGGAGGACTGGGGAGAGTGGCAAGAGGAGGGAAGGGAGAGACGCAGCATAACCGTCTATCTAGATGGTGGGTAAAGGAAGCGGTCTCAGACCAGGGCTCGGCAGACATTTTCTGTGAAGGGCCAGAGTGTAAACAATTTAAACTCCATGGGTCATATGGTCTCTTTCGCAATGCGACTATTCACACAAGTAGCCACAGATAACACAGATAACAAATGGGCATGGCTGTGTTTGAACAAAATCTTCTTTGCAAAACCAGGCAGTGGGCCGGATGCGGCCCACAGGCCATAGTTTGCCAACCCCTGTTTCAATGTTTGGGTCTAATAATCCAAACATGGTTGAAAAAAAAAAAAAGGAATTGAGAAAGTAAAAAAATGGTCTTGATGGAAGAAAACACCAACTGGAAGCCCTTCTTTGCTACAGCCTGAATTAACCACACCTTTTCTAGCAATCCAACCACGAATCAGAGTGTGGCTGGTGGGCTGCAGTGCAGTAGGGGGAAGTTTAAATCCCTCAGGCAGGAATTGAAATGCTGAAAAGATCTTACCATAAAACAAACTCCACTATCCCTCAGTCCAGAGACAACCCCGGACGCAGGGAGGGGCTGTAAACACAGAACTCTTTACCTCTTCTGGAGGAAACGCTCACATCTTATCTCCAGCGGCAATGCCTGGGGGAAGGCCGTGTTATCCAAGTCCCTTTGAGGAATGGTACAATTTTTTGAGATGTTTTTCAGGAGTGGGTAGGCCTCGAAATTAAAATAGAAAATAGAATTTTGGATTTCGGCATCATCGGTGGATCCGGTTTCGTGTGGACAATCATCTGCAATGAAAGAACACCGCACTCTCTACGGTGATTGCTTACCTGACGGACTCTGTGGTCCAGCTGGGCACATGGGAGCTGCTCTCTGCTTACAAAGGCTGGGGCGTCTGGGTTGGGCTGTGAGGGGCTCACTGCTCCGGAGGAGCAGGAGTCCGGAGAGCAGACCTTGCTGGCATTTTACCAAAGCACCCTGTGCGGACTGAGCTGCAGTATCGTTTGGCCTGTGGTGGAGGGGTAGCAGAGTGGGAGGAGCTTGGTGGGATTGCTCTCTGCTGCGTGAGAGGATGGAGAAAGTCGGGGAAGTGGTCAGCAGGCCACAGGTCTTGGCATCACCCCAAGCGTCATGGTCCCCCTCTGTACCTCGGAGCAGGAAACACGGCGGGTATGAAGACACAATAAACACTGGCTTCCAAGGGACTGCCAGATGGAAGGATCTGGGGGGAGCAAAGGCACAGATGACTTCACGCTTGACCACATCCATGAGGCACACAGAGCCATTCTTAGAAAAGATCAGCACCTGGGAAGCAAAGAGATGGTGAGTGGGGACCTCTCCTGGACTCTGTCCCTTACAAGAAGGTAGAGTGCTGAGGTCGCCCCACTAAGAAATAAGAGAAGCAGCTGGAGATAAAACATGGGAACAGAACTGATCTGGCCCTTGGGCACCCAGCCTCTGATCCATCCAGGGCTGTTGGGGAATCGCAGACACGAGTGTGCTGAGTCCTCTGGGGCCACCCTCAGCACACAGGCCTTCGTGCGCTTGCTGCCTGCTCCAGGGCCATGCTTCCCCTTTCGGCCGGGCCTCTCTTCCTAGTTCTTCCCCACATCTCCACTGAAGGCTCAGCCTCCACGTGGCCAAGATTTAGTCCCTCCCCTTGCTCCTCACGCCCTTCCTTCCCACCGCCTCGGAGACCCTGCTCAATCCAACAGCCTGAGATCCTCCTGGCCTGGGATCCCAGATCTCTCCTGCCTGTGCCCCATCCTCTCTGTAGTGAACACGTACACTCACCCCTCCTTAGAAAGCCCCCTTTAACCCTGTGTCCTCCAGCTGCCACACCACTTTCCCCTTCCTCCCACAAGAAGGTCTCTCGTCACCCTGTCCACTCCCCCACCTCCTGCCATCTGTCTCCCGGCCTCAGATGCCTGTCTCCACCAGGCGCTTGGTTTCTCTTTAGCACAGGATACTGTGTTCTCACCTGCACACTCTCCTCCTGAGTGTGCAGGACCCACCTGTGGTTTTCCTCGGAGTCGCTCTCAGTCAGTTCGTGAGTCATTCTCCTTGCCCTGTGGGTGATGGTTGTACCCGCAGGAACCTCTTTACTCCCCTCCTCTCTTTGGCTGGGGAACCTGCTGGAACCCACAGCTTCAACCATCACTCACCAACTCTAACTGGCTGCTGGGCATGGAATCTACATTTTTAGCCCCGGGACCTCTCGGAGCCTCCCCTAGGGGTCCTACAGACCCCTCACCTTCTGCGGGCCACAGTGGGACTCACAGACTGTCTCTCCAGGCCTGCGTTCCCTCAGTGGGCCCGGAAGGATCAGGGAATCAGCGCTGCAAGTCAGGTGATGCCTCCTGTCCTTCGGCTACAGCCGCAGACGCGGACTGCGGAGTCCATCTCCTAACATCGCTCTCCATCCCTTCTCTGAATATGCCGCTCCCCTGCTCGCCCGGCGTACAGGCCCTCCACAGTCTGGTCCCCCTGTCCCCGACCCCAGGCTCCTCCCGCTCCACATTCCACAGCAATCTGACGCTGCAGCTACTCACTCCTGCGGGGCCTGGACACTTGGTGCTCTCCGCCTCCATGGCGCTGCCTTCTCAATTCCTCTGCCTCAGCTCAGATGTCGCCTCCTCCGGAAAGTACACCGCCCTCCCCTGCTGCCCATGTTTGCAGGCTGAGCTCGGGGACCCCTCCCTCTGTTCCACGTGTTCATTGCAAGGTCGTATCACAGCCCGTCTCATGTTCAAGGCCAGCTGCTTGGTGACTTGTCTGTCTTCCCGAATGAATTATGAGCTCTATAAAGGCAGGTACTTTTTCTTTTATATCTGTAAACCCAAAAGCTAGTCCAGCGCCTAGCGCATAGTGGGCCTTGAACAAATATTTTTTGAAGGAAAGATGAACACATTCACAAAAGAGGAATGAGAGGCCAGGGGAACCTACCATGCCAGGTAAGGCTGGGACTGGGGCCACGGCACAGATGGCTTCATCCAAGTGCTTTACGGGCCTATAGGACAGAAGACACACAGACATTGTCCTACTTTAAGAGTTTTATAGTTTTGCTATCCTCTTCTAGGCATATATCCTGGGGAAACTCAGGGAAACCAAGAGATATGTGAGGAGACTATTCATAGTAGCAAAAAATAAGGAATAATTCAGCTATCTATTAGTAAGAGGATGCTTAAGTAATCGTGGAATACAAACACACAGCAATGAAAGTAAAAGAGCTGGAGATAATGCATCAGTATGCATGGCTCTCATGAACAGTGTTGCAAAGCAAGTCACAGAATAAAGAGCACTGAAAAACAAATTGGACGATACATAGAATATGGTTCCATTTACACGTTTCCTAAATATGCAGTTAAATAATACACTATTTAGAGATACAGTCATACAAATGTAGTCCTTAAAGGAAAGCAAAGGAATGATGAATTTGGGAAAATGATATGGTAAATTGAAAAAACGATTGGCTATATTTAGCAGTGACTTCCATCGAAAGGTAGAGTCTATTTTTCCACGGCTTGAACGTGGGTATGGCCATGGGATGTGCTTTCCCCAATGGGACATTAGCAAATGTAACATAAGCAGAAGCTTGAGAAGCATTTGTGCATTGGGCTGCCTTCTCTTGCTGCTAGGAGCCCACGTGAGGAAGCCGAGCCGCTCTGCAGGAGAGGCCATGAGGATAACCGGGGGCTCCTGCCAATAGCCTGCCAACTGCCAGGTGTGTGAGTGAGACCATCTTAGAGCTGCCAGGCCTAGCTGAGCTGCAAGCTGCCGGCAGGCACAGGTGAGAGCCTAGGCAAGACCAGTAGAAGAACTGACCAACTCAATCAGCCTAAATTGCTGACCTACAGAATCAAGGACTAACAATGACTGTTTTCTTAAGCCATTATGTTTTGGGGTGGTTTGTTATGCAGCAATGGGTAATTAATAAGGTGGTTCCTTTTGGGGAGGAGCAAGAAGGATGTGATGAGGGAGAGGCACACAGGGAGCCCTAATGGAATTGGAGATGATCTATTTCCGTGGGTACAGGGGAGTTGATCTCACATGCACACAAACGTTGTATAGATTCATTTCCATGCATAAAATATTTTAAAATGTTTAAAAGAGAGATCCTTGGGGAAGCTGATAAAAGGTGATTTTGGCAGAAATTAGCCACCTCTTGGTCATATGGGATATGAAAGATGTTGTCTTGGTCTGTTTTCTGTTGCTTGTAACAGAATATCTGAAACTAGGTAATTTGTAAAGAAAAGGAATTTATTTTTTTATAGTTCTGGAGACTGAGAAGTCCAAGGTTAAGGGACCACTGAGAGCAAGGTTAAAGCTCTCACTGCTGGTGAGATCTTTCTTGCTGGTGGGGACCTAAAGAGTCCTGAGGTGGTGCAGGGTATCACATGGTAGCGGCTGAGCATGTTCACATGCTAGCTTTGGTCTCTTTTCTTCTTGTAAAGCCACTAGTTCCACACCCATGATGACCCATTAATCTATTAACCTATGAATCCATTAATGCATGAATGGATTAATCCATTCATAAAGGCAGAGCCTTCATGATGCAATCATCTCTTTTTTTGTTTTTCTTTTTGAGACACGGTCTCGCTCTCCCCCCACCCACCAGCTAGAGTGCAGTGGCATCATCATAGCTCACTGCAACCTCAGACTCCTGGGCTCAAGCAATCCTTCTGCCTCAGCCTCCCAAGTAGCTGGGACAACAGGCGCACACCACCATGCCTGCCTAATTTTTCTATTTTTTGTAGAGACAGGGTCTAGCTCAGGCTGGTCTCAAACTCCTGGCTTCAAGCAATCCTCCCCCACCTTGGCCTCCCAAAGTGCTAGGATTATAGGCGTGAGCTACCACGCCCAGCCCCAGTCATCTCTTAAAGGTCCAGTCACCTCTCAATATTGCCACATTGGGATTATGTTTCAACATGAGTTTTGGAGGGGATATTCAAACCATAGCAGATGTCGTTTGTGCCATCATACAATTTTGTTGGAAAAATCTGTAAGATATATATGACATTGGTGATCTTGAGAAGCTCACTGGGAGAATGATGACTATAGGGAAATGGACTGCATTCAGACAGGCGGTCAGATTTTACCATGAACTAGCATCATCTGTCTGGCGGATTATTTACCCCACCCTCCCCTCAAGCCACCGACCTCTCAACAAGCACACGGATGGTGGGTCCTTGCGTCCTGTTGGCTTCCACCAGGTGGAGGGAAGCGTCTGCGCACAGCACCACACATTTCATTTGGGATCTCACTGGATCCCCAGGATACACGTTCTGTCCTTTGTGGACCAAGAAGTATTTTAGGAAGTGAATGCTTTGGCAGAAACATCCCTCAGGAAGAGCAATGACCCCAAGAGGGAATCCTGGAAAAATAATTACAAGAGGAGGTGAGAAAAGTGGGTAGGGGGAGGCAGCCGTGGGTGCAGGGTCTGTGCCCGGGAAGTGTGTGAGGGACTTGCAGGGTTTGAGGGCAAGGTCAAGCAATGAGCTCCCTCTGCGAGTGGAACCAGTAAACGCAGCGCCCAATGGGAGAGAAGAGCCCCTGTCAGGGGAACCTTCCCGTGATGGAAAGGAGCTGGGGAGGGCACAGTCAGTCCTGGAACGGAAGGAAGCTACGGCCCAGGCAGGGACTGAACTGCAGCTGCCCACGGGATGCCAAGGTGTGTGGACAGAGGGGGAGTGGTTTCAGAAAAGGAGGTGTGTGAGCGTGTAGCCAAATAACAATTTATCACTATCCAAAAAGAAAACAAGCTATTGGTCAAGGCAATGGTCTTCTTTCCTGAAATACCTGTTGCTTCTATAATAATGCTGTTGGTTCAATAAATAAAATTCAGGGAGGCCTGTAGTGATGTTTCTCTTAGCACCATGTGGGAGAACGTCCTCCAATTTGAAATAACCACTGGATTCTTCAGACAGAGACAGCCCAAGTAAGAAAGGCCCTTCACTGCCTTGACGGATGCCCCCCCGAGACCAGCCAGCTGCCCCGTGTGATTAGCAGTCCCCAGCGAACAGGGCACTAGCTCTGGCTCTCCTCCCCCACCAGGAGGGCTGCCGCTACGCCTCTACTCTCTAGGGAAACACATTTCCAGCTGTAAAATGGCAAACCACTGATTCGTTCATTGCTTTTTAAAACGTTTGGTGAGAGGCAGATAATTCCCTAGAGACCGATCAATTTAGGGTAAAGAGATACTAGTGATTTCTATACCTGCAGAGCAGGACCCTGGAACCCCACCAAGGTGTCATCCACCCAGAATAGCTACTGGTCTCGCTTTGACCGCTTTATAGGTGCCTTGGCTCCGATACCAATAGTGATCCTGCTGACTGGGGTGGACGTGCAATGGCAGGAAACATGGCGGGCTTAGTTTGAGGACCTGGGGGCTGGGAGGAGCAGGGCCGAGGTCACATGTTCCCTTGCACTATGCTGGAAGACACTTCTTCACTGGAGTGCAATAATGAAGGCAACGTTGTACTTCCAGGACCTGGTACAGTGCCGGGCACAGAGCAGGCACTCGATAGATACATGGGCAATAGGAAGCATTAGCACGTATTATGTTCAATAAATGTTTGTTGAATGAATGCATGAGGGGAAAGCAGGACCAGCTCTCCAAGATGACTTTAAGGACTCAGAGGTAACAGAAGGCCCAGAGACTGCAGGAATTCAGAGCTCCCACAGTCTCACTGCCCAGAGTTCCCACCCAGGGGCCAGGAAGAGAGGCAGGGAGGGCTCACCTTCGGCCAGGTCCCAGAGCGTAAGCACGCCATCCTCGCAGGCCAGCACCAGGTAGGAGGAGGAGCAGCTGAGCTGAGAGACTGCAATGGGCGCGGCACAGGGCCACACGCCCTCGGGATCTAAGGGGAAGGACACCACTCACCAGGGTCCCCACGAGACCCTGCACCCGCCCATCACTTCACCTGGACAACCTGAGACCTACACTGGCTGGCTGTTCAGGGCATGGGCACTAGGAGCACCTGTCTGGACTCACCGCCTCGCTCCTCTCTACAAAGTGCTATTCTCCTTCCTTACGAAGACACAGTAAGAAGTCACACTATTGTTACTCTGCAGCTAACTTCGAATGAGCACTTCCTAGGTGCTGGACACTGTTAGGCACTTTACATGCATCGTGTCATTTAATTCTCACAAGGTTCTGTGAAACAGGTCCCATTAGTACCCCCATTTGACAGATGAGGAGACTGAGGCGGAGAAGTAAGAGACTTGCCCAAGGCCACTCAGTCAGTACAGAAGTGGAGATTAGAAGCCACGCATTGGCTAGCGTTTCTGTTGATCAAAAAAAAAAAAGCCATGCTGGCTGGGAGAGGCATAGTAGGGCATAGAAGGAAAGAAATTTCTCCTTTGTGAATTTCTAAACATTACTTTGGAAATATAATATTAAAGTATAACAAATGTACAGCTGAAGGAACTATTACAAAGTGAACTTGCTCATGTAACTGCTTCTGTGAATTTGTAAAACAAAAACAACCTATGCTTCCTTAGTGCCTCTCAATTTCAAAGAGCTCTCACATACAGAAACTCTGGATTTGCCGTTCTCAGCAAATGCATACAGTAGATAGCGACGGCCTCACTAATTAGCTCTGTGTGTCACGTGAGATAACAGAGGACTGCGGCATGAGGTGGCTGGCCGGACACTACGCAGTCTGCAGACAGGGGGCTGGGACAAGCTCTCTCTCTCTTTTTACCTTAGCTGCCTAAGGAGGCCTGTGGACCTGGCTCTGGGCTTTGTCCCTACTGACCTATCATCTTTAAGAAATATGACAGTTCAGAGACAGACACTTTGGGTCGCACTATAGGCACCACTGCCCCCACTTCTGCCTGCATGGCTATGGTCCCCTAAAGTGACACTGATATGTCAGTCGCATGCTCTCAGCTAAGCTGGAGAAGGACATGTTCTGAGAGCCCTGAGCTTAAGCAACTCCCATCTCAATAGTTAAGTACCAACTTTATCCTTCAGACTTCGGTTCAGTGAATAGAGGAAAAAATTGTGACTTCCGGTCCAATGTACGCCAAGGACACAGGCTACTCCTGGGAAAGAAGAGAAGAAAGGGTATCACGTAAGAAGTGTGGGTGGCCTTTACGTTGCACAGAAGGTGTTTGCACAAGAGGTACTTGGTTTGAAGTCTGAAGTGGTTTGTTCTCATAGGCAGCACCCAACAGAAGGGCGAGCTTCCTGAGAAAGAGGGGCTGGGCACCCCCTGAGGACTGTTCCTAGGACCCACTTGCCTTCCTGCGTAGGGAGCACAGTCACAACTGCCCCTTGGCTACTTTCGCATCTTCTAGAAAATTCATGTCCACTTGGATGTCAGTGTTTCAAATAACATTTTCTTTTCTTTTCTTTTTTTCAGAGATGGGGTCTCGCTCTGTTGCCCAGGCTGGAGTGTAGTGGTGTAATCATAGCTCACTGTGGCCTCGAACTCCTGGGCTCAAGCAATCCTCCTGCCTCAGTCTCCCGAACATCTGGGACCACAGGCATGTGCCAGCACGCCAAGCTAATTTTTCTTATTTTTTGTAAAGATGGGGCCAGGCCATATTGCCCAGGCTGGTCTCAAACTCCTGGCCTCAAGTGATCCTCCTGTCTTGGCCTCCCAAAGTGCTGGGGTTACAGGCATGGGCCACCGCTCCTGGCCTCAATAACATTTTCTCCAAGATGAATTCATATCCAGAAACAGCCTGGTGGATGTGTGCTCATGGCCTTCTCTACAGCAGACCCACTCCCTGAAGGCAGTGGCAGCCTCCACTATCAAGGAATCTGTGCTCGGGGACATAGATTCAAACAGAGACTGTTAAGCTATAGCTGGCAACCTAATTTCCCCCTTCATTCCCTCCTATAACGCAAGGTTTGTCATGCAGAATGTCTCTAGGAGGGCTTGCCGAGGGATTTCCCCCAGGTGATCACTTGCTGGGACAACTACCCGCTTTATGTTCATTTACCTGCGGGGTTCTTGACTTCTGTTGGCATGGCAATTACGCAGCTAGGAAGCAGGAAGTGGAAGGTGGCCATACTGGGAAAGAAAGAGACATGAGTCAGAGCCATGCAGACTCCTTGGCAAGGAGCGATACCGGCAGTGTCTTGGCACTACGCTCAGAAGCAGTCAGGATGCACCTGCTCAGGGATACAGGGCCATGCGGCCATCACATTCTAGGCGCTGGTCCTGGCGGGATGCGCAGACCTTGGACACTGGTGAGGCAGGTCAGGTGGAGCTCGGAGTCACTCCCAGGCCAGTGTGGTACAGGGCGGAGCTCCTGCCAGACAAGGCTCCCTTATGGAGAGCAGCCTCCGTGTTCAGGGAAGATCCCTTAAAGAGCAGACTTGAGCCATCTGCATAAATGCTGTCTTATCAGAAGACAAGACAACCTGCGGTGTGCTCATAGACAGCGTCTCTTAAAAAAAAAAAAAAAAGCCCTGATTCTAGGTTTGCATATTTTCATGGCGTGAATACTCCCACAATAGACAATTCACAGGGGTTTAACAACTGGCCTACAAAATCCCTCAATATCTCACCAGGCTGTAAGAGCCGGCTCCAGGACACACAGGACCTTGTCATGGCTCCTCTAGTCAGTCTCAGGTGGCTGCCAGTAGGGCTTAGCCTTAGGACTTTGTGTCTTGAGTGAGAAAATTCAAGGTCCACTTGACAGCAAGATGAGAGGTTTCACTTTTCACGTGAAAACAAGGTGAGGAGAGCTAGTTCCTAAAACCAGCTCTACCACAGAGATTGCAAAGACTGGGGCTCAGTTTTTACTGTCCCAACATGTGGTTAATGAGGATTAAGTGCTGACTGCAATTAGAAAGGAATGTATTAAAATAATTGTATACCTGCACTATGTTACATTTACAAAGGCAGGAAGGACGTGGAGAAAAATTTTATTTCTGTCTTTAGGATCTTCTGTGTTTTTTAGATAACCAGCGAAAAAACTTTTTAAAGAGATGTCATACATAAAACCATAAAATAAATTCTATTTCTCATCTCCATAGATATCTAGTCCTTCTTTTAAATCCACGTTATCTGAGTCGGTGCCGCAGTGCAGGCGCCCTGACTCCCCGAGGCTCACTTTGCAGATGCTGAAATTGTGCAGTTCCCAGTCATGACTGCACCAACCGGCGTCCTGGAGACTGGAGCGGCTGATCAAATTGCATACTCACTGCTGTGCAGAATCGGAAATGGATCTGCCTTTGGTAAAGACCAGCCTATGATTCTTGTGCTGTTGGATATCACCCCACGATGGGTGTCCTGGATAGTATCCTAACGGAACTGCGAGGCTGTGCCCTTCCCCTCTTCAAAGATGTCACCACAACAGATAAAGGAGAGGGTGCCTTCAACGACCTGGATGTGGCCATTCTTGTGGGCTCCAAGCCAAGAAGGGAAGGCATGGAAAGGAAAGATTTACTGAAAGCAAATGTGAAAATCTTCAAATGCCAAGGTGCAGCTTTGGAGAAATATGCTAAGAAGTCAGTTAAGGTGATTGCCGTGGGTAACCCAGCCAACACCAACTGCCTGACAGCCTGCAAGTCAGCTCCTTCCATCCCCAAGGAGAACTGCGGTCGCTTGACTCATTCGGATCACAACCTAGCGAAAGCTCAAATCGCGCTTAAACTTGGTGTGACTGATGACGATGTAAAGAATGTCATCGTCTGGGGAAATCATTCCTCAGCTCAGTACCCAGATGTCAACCATGCCAAGGTGATACGCAAGGAAAGGCAGCTGGTATTTATGAAGCTCTGAAAGGTGAGAGCCGGCTCAAGGGAGAATTCATCGTGCCTGTACAGCAGCACCACCCAGGCTCAGAAAGAACCAGGGCAACATCTGCTGCGAAAGCCATCTCTGCGCATGTCAGAGACGTCTGGTTGGAACCCCAGAGGGAGAGAATGTGTCCATGGGCGTTATCTCTGAAGGCAACCGCATGGTATTCCCGAGGATCTGCTCCGCTCATTCTCTGCTGCAATCAAGAATAAGACCTGGAAGTTTGCTGAAGGTCTCTCTGTTAGTGATTTCTCATGTGAGAAGATGGATCTTACTGCAAAGCAACTGGTAGAAGAAAAAGAAACTGCTTTTGCATTTCTTTCCTTTGCCTGATGAGATAATCATTTTGATGTTACTAAATTACTTGTGAAAAATAACCCATTTTAAAGACGGTGTAGTTCCTGGTACAGATTTGTGATAGTTTATCATCATGCTGTTAGTGCTACATTCTAAATAAATACATATTAAGTTGAAAAAAAAAATCCATGTTATCGGCCTTTGTTCTAACTATGTTTAAACAATCTCTATACATTTCAAAAGATCTGCTGAAGTTCTCCGAAAATTTCCCCAGACCGGAAAGAGCTTTTAGATCTCGGGTTAATTCAGGTCCTTGGGTTGATTCCTGCGTGTGCCAAGAGGGCAGAAGCTTGGGTGGGAGGGGGTTCCCCAGCTCCCCAGGGATGGGGAGCTTCTGCCGGGCCTCCTCTGGCTCACCTGGCTGGCTCCTCCTCCCACTCGCCATCCAGGTACTTCTTGTAGGAAGCGTTGAAGATCTCCGCTTGCTGCTCCCACTGACTTTCCTTGATGAAGTGATTCTGCCCAGAGCCCAGCCCGTAGCAGTCCTCAATCTTTGCAAAGACTTCCAGGGGACTTTTAAATGTGGTGCCTAGGTTGAAAAGGTTCCAGAATTAGTCAAGCCATCTGACTTCCCCTTTCCTGATTTCCCCCTCCTTCCTTTGCGCTTCCAGGTTTCCTGCAGAATCCCTCCTCCTCAGAAACCCATTCTTGCTCTGCAACTGGTCTGTGAGCCCAGGTGTTCAGTATTCTTCCGGCCTCTCCCCGACCCCACGGGCTCACAGCGGCCGGGCAGAGAGCAGCAACCCTCCCTCTTTCTTATTCTATGTCTCCATCTCAGCATCCTTCTCTCTGCTTCTGGATTACGGAATCTCTGCAAAGGAGGCCAGGGAAATGTTCACGATGCCACTAGAGACGTTGGATCACTGTTGCTGTCTCCTCAGCTAAGGTAGGCCCCAAACCCACCAGTTACCATCACTTTCCAGCCACTGCTGAAGACCATGCAGTTAGGCAGTCCCAGCCTCTTCCTATGCTGACGTTGATCCAATTACCTTCTTTTAAAAAAAACTCCTTTCTCTGTCAATCATTTTTATTATTACTCCCTTTCCCCCAAACTGTTTATTTCCTTCTTTTTCATTTGTCCTAAATCCTCAGTAAAACTGGGGATTCACACCCTGAGTTTCAGAATTCTGTTCACTTTGGAAGGTGCCTGAGTCCCTCAAGTTGCCCAGGACGCCCCACGGTGCCCCTGGCCACGTCCCCAGACACAACAATTGTCATCGGTTTCTTGCCTAACTTTCTAGAGGGACACACTTGTTTCATAAACAAATGGTATCATATTATACACTAGCAGTTCTCAAAGGGTGGTGCCCAATCAGCAGTATCAGAGTCACCTGGGAGCTTGTTAGAACTGCAGACCTATTAGAACAGAACTCTGCAAGGGGACCCAGCAATCTGGGTTTTAATGAGTCCTCCAAAGGAATCCGATGCAGCTAAAGTTTGAGAACTGCTATTATATACTATACCCATTGCATTTTCACTTATTTTGGAGATCACTTCATATTAGTACTATAGCTCTTCCTCATTGTTATTTAATAACTACATAATTTTTAATTATTATACTGTTTTCTTGTTGTGAAATGTAACACACATTCAGAAAAGGGTATAAAATATATTTCTTAATAAATTATTATAAAGCAAAGATCTGGTATTATCTACTCGGGTCAAGAAATAGAATATCACCAGCTCCCTAGAAGCTTCCCAAGGGCTCTTTTCCAATCCCAACCCCCTGGGAATGATCGCAACCACTCTCCTGACTTTCACTGTCGCACGTCACTGCAGTGATTTGTACTTCACCACCTAAACATGCATCCTCAACATTGTAGGGTTTTTTTTTTGGCCTAATTTTGACTATATATAAGGGGGACCATAAGTATTAACTCTATGCTTGGCCTCTTTTGCTCAATACTGTTTGTGAGATTTATCCATTTTCTTGTGTGTAGCTGTAGTTTGTTCATTTTCATTCCTGTATAGTATTCCATTGAGTGAATATAGTACAATTTATCTGTTCTAGTGTTGATGGACATTTGGTTGTTTTTGTGGTTGGGGCTATTAAAAATCATGTTACTATCACCATTCTGGTAGCTGTCTCCTGGTACACATTTGCTTGCAAATCTATGGGTACCTACCTAGAAGTAAGGACTCAAACTGGTTTGCTTAGGAGTTTCCTAGTTTTTGCACCGAAAATCTCACATCCCAGGAAAGCCCTCAGTCAGGAAAACTGAGACAGTTGGTCACCCCACCTAGGAGTTCAAATGCTGGGTGACAGGCTATAAATTATTGTCAACCTTATTAGATAATACCAAACTGTTTCCCAAAGTGGATGTACCAATTTTCATTGCCAAGTACAATGTATGGAAGTTCCGATTGTTCCACATCCTCACCAACATTTAGTATGGTAAGTCTTTTATAATTTTAGCCTTCCTAGTGTGCGTGCAGTGGTATCTCATTGTGGTTTTCATTTGCATTTCTCTTACGACTAATGACAGTCAGCCCCTTTTCATATGTTTATTGGCTATTTGAGTAACCTCTTATGTGAATGGCCTGTACAACTCCTGCTGTTTTGTACTGGAGCATCTTTTTTCTTAATAATTTGTAGGAATTCTTTATATATTCTGGATATGGACCATTAGTAAGTTTTATGTGTTTTGCAAATATCTTCTTCCACTATGTGGCTTGCTCTTTCAGGCTCTTAATGATGTCTTTGGATGATTAGAAGTTCTTAATTTTAATGTAATCAAATTTATCAAAATTTACTTTTATTATAAGTACTTTTTGTGTCTTGGTTAAAAGTCTTTCCCTGCCCAGAGGTCATACAGATATTGTTTATACTATAATTTTCTAATCACTTTATTGCTTTGCCCTTCATATTTACTTCTACAACTTATTTGGAATTTCGTTTTGTGTATGATATGAGGCAGGGGGTAAGTTTTATTTTTGTCTCCACGTGGACAACCAGCACTACTTACTGAAATGACCACCCTTTCTCCACTGCTTTGTGGGGCCGCCTCCATAATGTGTCAAGTATCCATTTATGCCTGGGTCTGTTCTGGATTCTCTATTCTGTTCATTCATCTATTTTTCTATCTACATTTTTATATTTCATTTATATTTCTATTAATTGTTTACTTATTTTGTCTTAATTACCGTAGCTTTGTTTCTTTTTTTTTCCTTACATGTTCCTACAGATTCTAGTAATTACTGTAGCTTTGTAATGAATTTTGATAGAGCTAGTCCTACCACCATGTTCTTTTACAAGAGTAAATTGTCTATTCTTGGCTTTTTACATTTTCTTTTTGTTTTTTAATGGTTGCAAAGTATTCTTTTGTATAAGTGTACCAGATGTTATCTAACCAATCTTTTGCCTCTGTAAATAATGCTATCGTGAACATTTCTCAACTATGTCTTGGAGATCACGTGCAAGTGCTGAGAGGATGCACTCTATTCTCTGCCTACAGGGGCTATCCCTTCAGCTCCTCTTGGTCAATTCCCACTTGTTCTTTAAAACCTTGCCCAAATGTCTCTTCCTCTGACAAAGCCTTTGCTTCCTCCCTCGGCAGAGTTATGGTTTTTGTTTTAAGGTCCCAGAGCTTACGAGTTTTAAGAAGTTTCCTCTTCAGAACTACGCTTGTAATTTAGATATTACTGCTAATGAATATTAATAGAAAAGATTAGAAATGTGGAGAAAGGGAAAAAAGGAAAAATGGAGAAATCAATGGCAAAAGAAAAGACAGTATTAGTTGAATCATACTTACCCGTGATAGGTTTAGGTGGTTTGATCTTCATTATATGAACTGGAAGACTTAACTTAATGTCTCCTTTAAAACAAATGTTTATATCCTAAAATAAGAAAAAGAGATAGCTAATAAGCTAACAAAAGAGATGAAATGGAATCATTAAAAATATTCATTCTAAAAGAAGGCAGAAAAACAGGAAAAAGGAAGAAAAACGGATGGGACAAATAGTAAATAGCAAGGTGCTAGATTTAAACCCAAGCATATCAATAATCACATTAAATGTATGTGGTCTAAACACCCCAATTAAAAGGCAGAGATTGTCAGATTGTATAAAAAGGCAAAACCCAATTATATGCTGTCAAAAAGAAACTCATTTTATGACTCCTAATCTAAACCTATAGGGGGAAAAAAGAGAAACTTATTTTATTTTATTTTATTTTTTTGAGACAGAGTCTGGCTCTGTTGCCCTGGCTAGAGTGAGTGCCATGGTGTCAGCGTAGCTCACAGCAACCTCAAACTCCTGGGCACAAGCAATCCTCCTGCCTCAGCCTCCCGGGTAATTGGGACTACAGGCATGCACCACCATGACTGGCTAATTTTTTCTATTTTGTTGTTTGGACAATTTATTTCTATTTTTAGTAGAGACGGGGTCTCGCTCTTGCTCAGGCTGGTCTTGAACTCCTGCCCTTGAGCGATCCACCCGCCTCGGCCTCCCAGAGTACTAGAATTACAGGCGTGAGCCACCGCGCCTGGCCGAGAAACTTATTTTAAATGTAATGACACAAATATGTCAAAAGTAAAAGTACAGAAAAAGATATACCTCACTAAAACTAATCAAAAGAAAGCTGGGGTGACTATATTAATATCTGACATAGAAGATTTCAGAACAAAAAATATTATCAGGTATCAAAGAGCAAATGATATGATTAATTCATCAGAAGATGTAACATTACAAATTATTAACAGCTACAAAATACATGAAGCAAAAACTCATAGAAGTGAAAAAAGAAATAGATAAATCTACGATCTTAGAGATTCTTCTTTCAATAACTTGTGGAATAAGTAGACAGAAAATCAGTAAGAATACACTAAGGATATAGAAGGAAAAGCAGTAAGGCTTGGATAGCTTGACCAATAACAGCAGAATATATATTCTGTTCAAGTGCACATAGAACACTTACCAAGGTAAACCACATTTGGGGCATAAACAAGTCTCAATAAACTTAAAAGGATTCAAATATATAAGGAATGTTTTCTGATCACAATGGATGAGTAAGAAAATGTAAGTTTGTAAGAAAATATATATAGTATGATACCACTTATGTAGAAAAAAATTCCCATGAAATGAAACTATATTTTTCAAAATAAACATAAGAATATAAATATACACTAAAGATCTAGAAAACATATACCAAGCTAATAATGGTGATTACCCCTGGAGAGGGCTGTTTTTCTGAATGACCTGACTTTTCCAAGAGTGATGCATTCATATATTATTTGTATAATTTGCAACATAATATAATTTAAAACTGGAAAAAAGAAAGGGCTCTATCAAGAGACTTCCATTTCAGAAGTCCACCACTACTTTACTGATATGACTGAGACCTCCAAGAGCTAAACCTCTGGATAGCATGCTGTGCTCCCTGTCTCAGAGGAAGAGCTAGGAAACTACACGGAAGCCTCTCTCTTCTCTAAGGCTGTGGTCCCCAACCCCCGGGCCTCCAACCAGTACTGGTCTGTGGCCTGTTAGGAACCGGACTACACAGCAGGAGGTGAGCAGAGGAAGAGCGAGGGAGTGAAGCTTCATCTGTATTTACAGCCGCTCCCCATTGCTCCCATCACCGCATAAGCTCCACCTCCTGTCAGATCCGCAGCTGCATTAGATTCTCATAGGACCACAAACCCTACTGTAAACTGCACATGGGAGGGATCTAGGTTGCGCTCTACTTATGAGAATCTAATGCCTGATGATCTGAGGTGGAGCTGAGGCGGTGATGCTAGCGCTGGGGAGCAGCTGCAAATATGGATTATCATTAGCAAAGAGGTTTGACTGCACAATAAATGTAATGAGTCATCCCAAAACCATTGCAAACCCCACCATCTGTGGAAAAATTGTCTTCCATAAAACCGGTCCCTGGTTCCAAAAAGGTTGGGGACTACTGCTCTAAGGTATTCCAAAGACAAAACCCCCTAAGTCACTTGGCTTTGTGGATTGGGCTGTTATTTTGGGAGGGTCATATCTAGGTATCAAGGGACCCTCCTTAAGTAAAAACACAAAATTATAAACACTAAATGCCCATGGCCACTCTAATTTCATCCACTATGGGGAAAATTGTGACAGATAGAAGTTAGAGTGAAAAGAGACAGTGGTCTTCAGTGATTGCGGTTAAAATATGTTACTTTTGTCAATTTTACAAAAATATACCACCATGTGAACACATTGGTAGGGGCCCTCCCCAGGACCCAAAGTGAAATTCCTCTGAAATTTAAGCTCTCATTTTTTTTTTTGAGACAAGAGTCTCACTTTGTTGCCCAGGCTAGAGCGACTGCCTTGGCATCAGCCTAGCTCACAGCAACCTCAAACTCTTGGGCTCAAGCGATCCTCCTGCCTCAGCCTCCCAAGTAGCTGGGACTACAGGTGCTCGCCACCACACCTGGCTAATTTGTTTGTTTCTGTATTTAGTTGACTGGCTAATTTTTTCTATTTTTAGTAGAGACAGGGCGGTGGGGGGAGGGGGGTCTCGCTCTTGCTCAGGCTGGTCTTGAACTCCTGACCTCAAGCTGTCTTCCTGCCTTGGCCTCCCAGAGTGCTAGGATTACAGGCGTGAGCCACCATGCCCAGCCTCAAGCTCTCTTAACTTCAGGTAAATCTACCTCCGGACAAAGGGACTTGGGTCAATTATCCTCAAGGATAGGAGGCCATCTTCAATGGGTATGAGGCACAAGATTAAGTCACAGAGAATCTGAAAACAGTACCCTGGTGGAACATTTTGCTACTATATTTGATATTTAAGGTAAATTTCAAGTAAAAATAAAAATCTCTAAAATGCAACTTAAGTCTCTCTGGAGATTTTCTTTAAATTTCTTACCATTTCTAAATTATCTGTAGAAAGGAGATCGAGAGTGTTCTAAGTAAAAAAATGAGAAATGAATTCACAATAGGTTTGATATAGGTTCTCCTCTCCCCCTTTCATCTTCTGAGATGCTCTTCCTTCCCCCTAGTTATTCTTGTGAGAAGTGGATTCATGCGGTAGGCACCAAGGGCCAATATTTGTGTGGTCTTCTGGCTTACAGGATCTTAAAAAGATCCCTATTTTCCAGAATCTTAAAAAGTAACTGGGGAAACAAGAAATAGTTAATAAGAGGAAATATGAACGAATAGAGGTGAGGAGATAAGTTAGGACACCATAATAAAATCCAAGTTGAAGCAAATATTTCTGATTCACAAAATATGTCAGTGATGTTGAGAATTATATTTATTTTATTTTTTTCTCTTTTTTTTTCCTGCCAGCATGATGGATTGAGAATTATACATAATTAACTCTAAATATAATTCATAGTAAGAGAACTACCACCGTAACTGGCATTAGCTGGTTACTTCTCAGTATAAGAAAAAGGAGTGAATTATGGTAAGAAACCACTGCCATTCAAGGTGACTTTTCCACTTGCATAACAAATTAGTCTATCAAAAAGTATATCTTTTGGGTACTAAGTATGATACTATGAGATTGGTTGACAAAAAGCAGAAGGCATGGTCTTAACAATCCAGAAATTTATCATCTATTGAAGACAAAAGGACTTTCATGTATAAGAAGATAACTAACAACCGAGAAAGTATGTGAGAAGTGTCAAAAAAAAGAGGTACAAACAATAAATTCTGTAAAGTTTAAAGGAGGAAGATCTCTGGGCTGGTAACTCTCCCAGAGACACAGGACTACACTCCACTGTGAAGACCGGGGAGAAAGGCATTTATTCAAAGCCACTCAATAAGCTCAGCAGTGAATGTGAGTCTAAATCTTGGTCTCCTGTATTAATAATTATCGCTAATTATTAATTAGTGATTAATAATAATCACTAATTCTTTAGCATTTAATACAATGTGTTTTAAAGGGGTGCTCAATTAATATTAGTTGGTGGTAGTTAAAAAAGAAAAATAATAAGCACACATTGTATAAATAAGCAAATTAAGTCAATATTTACTGAGCAACTCTATCTTAAAGACAGCACAAGGCTCAGTCATTATATGTAAATGAAAAGGTAGAGTTACTACCTTCCAAGAATAATATAAAGAATATATGTGTTTCTGCATATTGAGAACAACCTCTTTACACCACAAATTCCAAATTTAGTGGAATTCAAGGCGTGAAAGGATTATTTCAACCAGGAGGGGGAAAAAATTACCTATGAAGCAATAGTCAGACGAAAGAACTTCCTTCCAGAGAAATGCCTGGGAGGGGTCTCAGTGGAGAGGCAGCTCCCAGACAAGGGAGGCACTGAGAGTCCCCCTACTGAAGACACTTCTACTTTTTAATATCTTATTTTAACCAAAGCAAATTGATTTGGGAGACGTGGGCCAATGTTCCTGTTGTCCTCTCTTATAGCCCAGAGGCCTCATTCATTGTGAAATTCCGAAGAGGATTTAGTAGATGTGGGTCAAGGGAGAAACCTATCAGTTAAAAGCAGAGCTGTTTCCTACCGGTTGTTTGACTTTTTTCTTTGAATTCGAAGTGAGTTGGGAGTGCTCCACTTCCTTGAGCCAAGTCTCCTTGGGCAATTTATACACATCCAGCCAAACATCTCCAGCTCCTGCGTTGGGAAACCAAAGAATCATTGAGCAACTGCAAGTAGGCCACAAGTCTCCTCTGTGAAACAGCTCGTCTTCTCAGAACCGCTGGCACGGAGCTCAGCCACCTCTGCAGCCGGCACCCACGGAGCAGCGACTCGACAAACTGAAGGAGATGCACTTCTGCAGTGCTCCCTGCAAGTCCTCACTCCCCGAATAACTTTCCCACGCAGAGTTCTCCCCTCAAGCCACTGGCATCTAGGGAACAGGGGCTTCTCACACTGCCGGCACTGACGCAGCACCCTTTTCAACCAGGCTGCCCGCTCTGCCCAGTCCCCGTGTTTTCTGTGCTGCAAATGATAAACTCCACTGACGTTGTGCCTTGAGTTACACCTATCTGGGGAGGAAGGTGGCGTATATAGAATCAGTAACCGAGAGGAATATGGCTAAGGAAGAGTAAGAATTCGGAAAGATGCCTCAAGAGAATTCTTCTGACCAATATTTGAGGAGATGACAACTTATGGGGTGGTTGTGGTACTTGATTTTGTCATACAAACATTCTTAGTTTTTGTGCGTGTGCCTGTCAACCCGGAAATGTTGCTCTCCCATGGTATGGAATCCTGGCTAAACATTTCCTTTAAAAAGTAATTATCTGCACACCTTAATTTCAGACTTCTGGCCTCCAGAATTGCGAGAGAATACCTTTTGTTTTAAGCCACCCAGTTTGTGGTACCTTGCTATGGCAGCCATAGGTAACTAAGATAGATGGTACAAAAGTTTCCTCAAATACATAAGGCATTATAAATATATATCTCCCTCAAGTACCTAACATTTGAGGGGCTTTGGGCAAGAGTATAAAATATAGGCTTAAATACCATCTATCTAAATATTTAAGAGTTAAAAGTCCAGATAACAAATATGTGAATAAAATATGTTCTATTATCACCGTGTCACTGTAGCAGGCAAGATCCAATGATGTGCTGAGACTGGTGGTAAAACTTCAAGGAGAAACAGGACATTTGCATCATCTCAAAGTGTCACCCTCAAGATGTTAATTACTGTGGTGGTTTTGTTTGTTTTTATTTCAAAATATTAAGGGGGTACAAACATTTTTGTTACATGGATACCTTGTATAATGCTTCAGTCAGGGCTTTGGTGTCCCTGTCACCAGGACAGTGTTCATTGTACCTAACAGGTACACTGAACTCCCCCTCCTATCCTTCCCTCTTCCTCTTTGTGCCCATGTATGGCTATTGTGTAGCTCCCACTTACTAGTGAGAACATATGGGGTTTGGTTTTCCATTCCTGAGATACTTCACTTAGAATAATGGTCTCCAGTTCCAACCGAGTTGCTGCAAATGACATTATTTCATTCCTTTTTATTGCTATGTAGTGCTCCATGGTATATTGTGCTGGTTTTAACATATGTCCAAAAATTCTTTGATTCTCCTGCCTCTAGGTGGTAGTGCTTAAACCATCTTCTTTTGAGAGTGGTCTGGACTTAGTGACTTGCTCCTTACAGAGTATCGAAAGGGAAAAACATAGCTTTACAGTGGAGGAACCTGGAAGACGCTACTGCTTCTAAGTGACCAAGGTTAATATTAGCAGAGTGAGTCACATTGCTATCACATCCCCTTGATACAATGCAATTGGAAGAAGTGGAGAGGCAACTCCCGGACAAGATACTGAGAGTCCCACTACTGAAGACAACTCTAGGTTTTAATATCTTATTTTAACCAAAGCAAATTGATTTGGGAGACATGTGCCAATGTTCTTGTTGTCCTCTCTTATAGCCCAGAGGCCTCATTCATTGCGAAATTCCGAAAAGGATTTAGGCTAGATGTGGGTCAAGGGTATCACCTCTGTGGTATCTTTCCCCCAAATCCTTAACCCCAGTTGAATCATGAGAAAAATATCAGACAAATTGAGGGATATTCTTCAAAATATCTCACTGGTACTCTTCAAAAGTGTCAAGGCCATGAAAAACAAGGAAAGACCAAGAAACTGTCACAGATAGGAGTAGATTAAGGAGAAGCAATTGCTAAATATAATATTTAGCAATTGCTAAATATAATATGGTATCCTGGATTGAACCTTGGAACAAAAAATTTGATTAGTGGAAACACCAGTAAAATCTGCAAAAAAAAAAAAAAATCTGTAGTTAATAGTTAATTACATTGTACTAATGTTATTTGCTTACTTTTGAAAAATGTAGCATGGTCATTTTGACTGTTGGTATTAGGGAAGTTGGGTGAAGGGTATAGGATAGGGAAACTCTCTGTACTATCTTTGAAACTCTTCTGTAAATCTAAAACAAATTCTAAATAAAAAGTTTGGAGGGAAAAAAGTACTCATCTGGAAGAAATTGAAAATCTGAACCATGTTAACAGTCTTTAATTAATCTTGCCTTGAAGGAGGAAAGCTGCAAAGTCCCCTCCTTGAGAGATATCCATCTTTATACAGGTCATCTGCTTGCTGGCATCATCCTGAAAAGAAAGAGATGGTGATAGAGTGAGCTCAGCCTGGTGACAGAGAAGAACATATTTCAGGGCTTTCTGTGGTTCATGCCCGAGAACAGATATCCTTTTAAAGCTTGGGACATGAAAAAATCCTTAAACTGCTTCACATTTCCCATTTTTATACAGAAATTGGACAACATGGTATGTAAAAAAGTGGAACTCACTTTTCTAAATGTTTTTGGACTAATTTTCTGGTTTTTTAAATACTCCTGTCGATTTGTGACATACTCTTGGATCTCTTGGTTGGGTATGCAAACCCTAAAGCCTGTGTTGGTACCCGATTATTCAACTGGATTGAAATAAATTCTATATGACACTGAAAACTCTAGTGGTTGATGGACAAAAGGCTCTATCTAGACTATAGTAGAGACTAACTGTAACCCTAGTACGAAACCTGCTCAAATTTTGGGCAAGGCGAGAGAGGCTCAGTGTGCATGGTTATGCTGTTTCTTTAAGGAGGATTAAAGATTTTGAAGATTACTAGCAAAATAAGGTGGCTATACTAGTTAGACTGATAAGTCCCCTAATTTATTTAATGAGAACCAGTTATAATTTTTTAAAATTTATATATTTTAGTATCAACTTGTTATGGAAATTTTCAAGCATACAAAAAGGGAGAAAATAGAATAACAACTCCCCATATATCCATTTCTCAGCTTCAACAATTATTAATATATGACAAATCCTGTTTTATTTATTACCTTCCAAACTCATTAATATTTTTATTTAATTAAGCCTGAAATATTAACAATTCCTAAATATCATTTAATATCCAGTCTGTTTTTCAATTTCCTCAGTTGTCTCACAAATGTCATAAATATCTTTCCACAATTGGTTTGTTCGAATCAGGATCCAAATGAAGTCCATGGATTGTATTTAGTTAATATATCTTTTAAGTCTCTTTAAATTTATAATAGCTTCCTCATTTGTTTTTCTCTTTGCCATTTATTTGTTGAAGAAACCAGGTCATTTATCCTATGGAATTGGACATTGTGGATCAAACGATCGCATCTCCATGGTGTTAACATGTTCTTCTGGGTCCCTGTATTTCCTATAAACTGGTAATCAGATCTAGAGCTTTGATTGGATTTAGGTTCAATTGTTTTGGCACAAATACTCCATGGGTGCACTGTGTCCTTCCTACTGCATATCAGGAGGCCCATAATAGCTGGTTGTCTCTCTTTTAGTAATGTCAAAATTGATAACTGACAACAGGTGTTGTCATCCTGACTCATCAATTATAAAATTCCCCATCGGCCATTGGTGGTTATTGCCTAGACAATTACTCTATAAAATGGTGGTGGGGGTGCTGCTCTCTGCTCCTGCTACAGATTGAACTCTAATAGCATCTTTTGATGAACAGAAGTTTAAAATTTTTTAACAGCTTCATTAGAGGTGTAATGACATATAATAAACTGCACGTTTGAAGTGTACAGTTTGGTAAGTTTTGACGTATGTATACCCCTTGAAACCATTGCCACTACCAAGACAGTGAACGTATCCATCACCTCCGAATATTTCTTCCTTCCCCTTTGTGTTCCTCAAGTTGCCCCAGGCAACAACAGATCTGTTTTCTGTCACTAGATTAGTTTGCATTTTCTAGAATTTTATAAAAATGGAATCACCAGTATGTATTTTTGTTAAAATTTTTTTTTTGAGACAGAGTCTCAGTCTATCACCTGCTCTAGAGTGCTGTGGTGTCAGCCTAGCTCATAGCAACCTCAAACTCCTGGGCTCAAGTGATCCTCCTGCCTCAGCCTCCCGAGTAGCTGGGACTACAGGCACTCGTCACTACACTTGGCTAATTTTTCTATTTTTAGTACAGATGGGGTCTCACTTTTGCTCAGGCTGGTCTCGAACTACTGATCTCAAGTGATCCTCCCACCTCCACCTCCCAGAGAGTATGTATTCTTTTTTGTCTGACTTCTTTCACTTAGCATAACTATTCTGAGATTTGTATATGTCATTAAATGCATTGCAGACATAAAAGTTCATTCTTTTTTATTAGTGAACAGTATCCCATTATATGAATATACCATAATTTCCTTTTCATTGACCTGTTGATAGACATTTGGGTGGTTTCTGTTTTTTGGCTCTTAGAAATAAAGCTGCTATGAACATTCACATACAAGTCTCTGCATGGACGTATGCTTTCACTTCTCCTGGGTAAATACCTAGGAGTGGAATGGCTGGATCATATGGTAAGTTATGTTTAACTTTTTAAGAAACTACCAAAGTGGTTGTACCATTATACTTTACCACCAGCAGTGTATGGGAGTTCCAGTTGTTGTGTATCTTTGCCAACACTTGACATAGTGTTTTTAATTTGAGGCATTCTAATACATGTGTAATGGTATTTCATTATGATTTTAATTTCCACACAATATTGAGCATCTTATCTGCCTTCCATATATCTTCTTTGGTGAATTGTCTTTTCAAATCCTTTGCCCATTTAAAAAATCATATTAGGCCGGGCACAGTGGCTCACGCCTGTAATCCTAGCACTCTGGGAGGCCGAAGTGGGAGGATCGTTCGAGCTCAGGAGTTCAAGACCAGCCTGAGCAAGAGCGAGACCCTGCCTCTACTAAAAATAGAAAGAAATTGGCTGGACAACTAAAAATATATAGAAAAAATTAGCCGGGCATGGTGACACATGCCTGTGGTCCCAGCTATTTGGGAGGCTGAGGCAGGAGGATGGCTTGAGCCCAGGAGTTTGAGGTTGTCATGAGCTAGGCTGACACTATGGCACTCTAGCCCAGGCAACAGAGTGAGACTCTGTCTCAAAAAAAAAAAAAAAAATCATATTATTTCCTTGTTTTGAGAGTTCTTTATATATTCTGGATATACATCCTTGATTGTATATGTGATTTGCAATAATTTCTCCCAGTCTATGGCTTGTCTTTTCATTTTTTTAACAATATCTTTTGCAGAACAGTAATTTAAAATTTTGATAAAGTCCAATTTATCAATCTTCTTCTTTTATGGATCATGCTTTTGGTATTGTAGCTAAAAAATCTTTGCCTAACCCAAGGTCACAAAGACTTTTTCCAGTGTTTTCTTCTAGAATTTTTATAGTTTTAGGTTTTACATATAGGTATATGATCCATTATGAGTCAATTTTTGTATACAATATGAAGAATGAGAAGTTTTTAATTTTGGTAAACTCCAATATCAATATTTTATTTTATGATTAGTGTTTTTCATGTCTTAAAAAATCTGTGCCTGCCCCGAGGTAGCATAAATTTTTTGTGTGTTTTTTTTCAAGAAGAATAATGGTTTTAACTCTTATGTTTAGATCTAAAATCCATATTAAATTTAATTTTTATATATGGTATGGGGTTGAGGTTCATTTTGTCCACATTTGTTCATCCAGTGTTTCAGCATCATTTGTTGAAAATATTTTCTTTTCCCAATTGCTTTGGTGTCCATCAATAGTATTAATATTTCTCAGAAGACAAATTACAGTTAAAAATCTACTCTGAGCAATACCTTCTCTTTGGGGGATTCATTGATTCAAAATACACTTTCTGAGAACATACAGTATGCCCAGCAATGAGCTGGGGAAAGTGATTCAGAGGGGAGTGAGACAGGTCCCCTGCTCTCAGGAGAAGCAGCAGTTATACAGATGAGTGTAAACGTTGCAGAAAACACTGTAATAGAAATCATGTTCTATATGGAGGGGGCACGAAGCAGGAAGAGATCAGTTCTTCTTGGGTATGTGAAGGAAAGTATCTTAGAGGAGGAGATATTTGAGCTGGTCTTGAAGAATGGGAGAAATCTAACAGGCAGACATGGTAGGTAGGGAAACAAGGAGAGCATTCGAAGCTGAGTGATACATTGGTCTGATGCTCAAGAGAAAAATATGAACTGGAGTTCCTTAGTAATTTTCTTCTCTTAATAAAAGAGTAAATAAATCCAAGGCATTCAGCCTCTACCCTCTGATGGTGGGGGATCTTTTAACTGGATATTTTGGAGGAGACTCTCTGGCCAGGGAGTTCCCTATTTCTTTCTTTCTTTCTTTTTTTTTTTAGCATAAAGATTATTTTGAGCTGAATATTTCTTTTAAATATAGGACAGCTATCATTTCTTCCATATTAAAAGTAAACTTAATTTGCTATAGCTTTTGGTCCAGCTAAAGGTGAAAATGGGAACTCACCACTTCATTGATGGCTTTGCTTACAAAAAGACCATCCTTATAAAAATAAAGTAGTCTAATGATACCTGAAACAGAAAAATAAGTGAGAAGTAAGTAAAGAAAAATAAGTGAGACAAACAAGTGAGCCAAAGAAGAATTAGAATTTTACATTTGACTTTCTGACCTTAGCATCATAAGCTCATGCATCTGAGGCCCCTCCCTGGCCCTCTGCTGCCTATGCTGCTCTCGGGCTCCTTGCCATCTTCCACCCCTGCACCCCTCACTGGACATTCTCAGGTAATTTTCTTTCCTGGGTTCTCTCCACCTACCCTGGCCCTACCTGCATCTCCTAGAAGTTCCTGCAAGTGTGTCGACCACACCGATGCACCTTGGGATTCCTATCCACCTGTCTTAGTGCATCGTCCCTTGTTGCTTCACATTGTTACCAACTGTTTCCTGTGAGTGCTTTGCATTCCTCTTGCCAGTGCATAGATTGAGGAAAATGATCGTATCTCACCCATCCATGTGCCTCACCACTCGATCCCAACAAGCTCTTTATGTTTTATGCTCTTTAATTTTGTTGAATTAATAAGTAATTCTGTCAATCTAATTCCCATTTAATGTAAGGACTCCAATATATGATCATCATCCACCATGACTTCTTACCTCTTTCTCTAGGTGCCTCCCTGACACTCATAACCTGCCTCCACACCACAGTAGAGACATTGTAAAGACATCTGGCCCACGGTGGGTGAAAGTCTAACGCAACTCCATGAAGATTCATGGGGTATCTGCTCCATCCAACGTATGTGCTACGGACACCAAGGCAGTCTGCCTTCAAATTCATCATATTGAGGGCTACACAGACATGAAACCAACTAGTATAATGCAGCCTGATAAATACGATCCCATCATAAGACCAAACTCGTTCTGAGGATCAACATTTCCACACAGATATCCCCCAGGTGCCTCAAATCTGTGCATGTTAAAATAGAATTCTTCAACTCACAGACCCTTGAAACCTTATTCTCCTATGATTGTTATCAAAGAATGGCATGATCATCCACCAGTTATCTAAGGCAGAAAGGTGGAGTCTTTCTTCTTCACTGTCCCCAGCATGCCTCCCCTCTCCCTCACCCGTGCACATATTCGATCACTCACTAAGTTTTCCCATTATATTTTCCTTTTCATTTTTTAAACTTTTATTTTGAACTAATTTTAGACTTATAAAATGTTGCAAAAATAGCACAAAGAGTTCCCTAATATCCCTCCTCTCACTTCCCCTAATGTTAACATCTTACATAACCACAGTAAAATTTTCCTTTTCATTTGAACAGCCCTGCCTTGGTTCAGATCTTCATAATTTCTCTTCTTAATGAGTACAATAATCCTTCCTCTTCTCTCTGCCTCTCATTTTGACTTTTCCGAACTCCTGCCAGGGTGCCCTTCCTAAAATGCCAGTCTGGTCAGGTCACTCTGCTGTAGAAAGTTCTTCAGTGTTCCTATGTTGCTTGAGCAGTGCCTGCTGTTTAGAGAGATACATGCTTCCACAGGTGATCTCAAGGTGAACAGGCACTTTCTGCTCTCCTGGCCCCAATATCACATAGCCACCTCTCTGATTTCCTGGCCAATGCTGACACTTGCCTTCTCATCCCCCACACAATAGGGAAGCTCCCCATATCCAGAGGCAGCAGTCTGGGTCACCCAAACATAAGGACAGGCTAGAGGGAGCCTAGCCTTTTGCGGACAACAAAAAGCAACAGTTCATCTATCTAGGACACTGTGTACAGTTTTTTATACCATACTCCCCATGAAGGCCTGGTTCATCCTCCGGCTAAGGGGAAAAAGCAAGCACTGGTTTCTATGAGCATCAGGATGCTGAGTGCAAGAAGTGTGTGGCCTCTACGGCCATACTATTTTTGTCCCTGTGCCACTTACTTTCCATGTTACCTCAGGTAAGTTATTTAACCTTCATGCCTCAGTCCTTCTTCTGAACAGGAATAATAAATTGCACTTCCCTCCTCGGGTTGTTGTGAGGATTAAATGCGCTAACATATGTGAAAAGTTAGCATAGTGCTTGGCACACCACACTTGTTCTGTAGACATTAGTTACTACTACATGACCAGGGAGGATTCTCCGTGCCTGGCCCCACCCATACCTGGAAAGGAGATTAAACTGAACGACAGTCTACAGGTACCTGTAAATTAGGCAAAAAAGGAAGATGAAGAACAAATACCCATTTCATCCACAAGAGCAATAAGTATTTCACTCCCCAAATCCGTGGCACAGATGGAAGTGACATCAACTTTAAGTTTGTCCCAAACATATATTCGTTTAGCATTGTATAGATTATAAATCGAGAATCCTTTGGCTCCTCCGACAAACAGAAAGTCTTGGGAAACAGCCATGCAATTTGGCCTTTTGTTGAGCTTGGAAAACAAAGACAAAGAAAAAAGGAATAATTTTCAGTTGTCACGGTCTTCAAGTAATATGAGCTAACTTTTCATAGAGTATCACAGCCCTTCCTAGATATGATACCATCCCCAAACATAGTACTCAATCCGAAACTCTTGCCTAAGCATCAAGAAACTCGTAATATTCCATTTTTAGGGGAATGAACCCAGAAAAACAAAGAAGTTGAGAATAAATCGATGTTCACGACACTAAGCATCCCCACAGGCCCTGTGCTTTATTGATCTGGTGTGCTGTGGGAAGAACGAACCGATAGCTGAGGCACTGACAGATCCTCAACCATCAAATAAGAATGTGGATTAATAGATTAACGAAAATTTTTCAATGACAACAGCTGAATAGAAAGGGCCTTCTGTGAATCTTCGTTAACCAGAACAATCCATTTCCCCGGGCAATTACCAGATCTATTTTAATGAACATCAGCACACCTACAATGTTTCAAAAATGCACCTGTCTTATTGAATGCAGGTTTGTGGCAGGAATTCCTTCCCTGGATCAGGGGTTTTCATTTATTAACACTCAGCTGAGGGACAGGGACTTCTGCTCAGCTGCCTACTCCATACCTGGATTTCTCCAACCGGGGGGTAGACAGTGGGCTGGATCTGGCTGCTCTCAGCTTCCCTCAATGCATTCCTCTCTTCAATAATTTCCCATGACCGGTCAAACAGAAGGTTCACCAGCTTGTTAATCATTCGATAAGGTTGAGGCAGGGAGTCCAGCCCCTGATCAAGATCCATGAAGACATAATCCCCCTCATCTGTAGGCCAGTCCTTCTCTGTTGGGGTGGGCACCTCCAGGGGTACCTTTCGTGTGGTAAGGGACAGCCTCATCTTCTGAGTCTGACTTCTTCTGGGGGATGACATCACAGCAGGTGGCACCAGGAACTTCTATGAAACTCTGAAAAGCTGATAAGAGATGTAAGCAAAGGAACTCTGAGAAGAAAGGGAAGCAACAAGAAGACAGCACACAATCCTTCTCTAGCACCAGAGTCTATGGGGACTATTTATTCCAGAGACTGGCACTTTCTTTAATTACCAGAGGATTGTTACCACATTCCTGGGAGATGCTCTTCGTATTAGTAAGGAAACCAGGAGAGGCCAACCCAAGATGATGTATACTATGATGGAAGAAGAGGAATGTGGCATCCTTCAAATTTCTTTACCTCCTGATAGGAAGGCAGCTGTCTTTCCATCTCAAATAGAATTCACCCTCTCTCCTACAACTCATGCCTTTTCTTTGTTCTCTATCTTTGCAAATGGGCAATGAGCCCTGACCCAATTCGGTGGGGCAGCGAGCCATGATTCTCCTTCCTTCTTTTCCCTCACCCCCGAGCAGATGCAGTTCCAACACTCTCAGTCTTTGCTGTCTGCTTTGTTCCCTTCTCTCCTTTCCTACTGCTGCCATCCAGGAGTTCTGCAGGCAAAATGCCCAGGGCCTATAAGATTTTTCAAGGCCCTACAGAAATTTTTGAGACATGAGAAAAAATTGATTGACTGGAAAATTAAAAAGACCCATAAAATCAAAATAAAAATTTACAAAAATACTTACAACTTATCCGTTCCACTCTATGGGTATGTGTATACAGTTCAAGAAGAGAACAAGTAATCTGTACTTCAGAAAACTCAAAATTGTGCAAATTATAAAGGTGGCTTTCCAGTGTTACAGTAAAAAAAGTATATAATGTGGAACACTGGATACATTTTAAGATGGTTAATATATAGCAGAATAGAGTCTTGCACTGTAATAGTGCCTGGGTCCATGAAGTCCTATGAAAACCCTGCAGTCATCATCATCTTTTCTCACTGGCTAGAGTACATGTGTGACGCTTCCGGTGCAGAGTGTGAGGACACTGGCTGACACTAGGAAAGAACAACCTTAAGTAATTAGGGGAACAATAACCTGAGCTCACAAAAGGCCAGGAATGATGCCTATTTCCACAGCCAGGCTGGAAAACCTCCTAAGTCACAAGCATTGGGTGGAGTCTGAAGAAGAATCAGCAGCAGGAAAAATCAGCCCTAGAATAAATGCTGCTCTGCTATCACCCATCAAATCTTAGAAGTTAAATAATTGAACTGTGTTTAAGTAATTTAACTGAATCCCAGAACAAAGTTCAAGAATTTTAAAGGAATACAAAAAACCCCCCAGCATCCAATGAAGTAAAATTCTCAATGTCTGGGATCCAATAAAGAATTACCTGGCATGGAGAGAGGCAATAAAATATAAGCTGTAATAAAGAGAAAAAGCAATCAATTGAAGCCAACCCAGAATCAATACACATATTAGAATTAGCAAATAAAAAAGTTGTAACTTTTTCTGCATGTTCAAAAACTGAGAGGAAATGCGAACACGTTAAGACCCAAACTGAACTTTTAGAGATGAAAACTACACCAGATTATATTAACAACCAGATTTCAGAGCAAAACAAATTAGATAGGCAGAAAAAAAGATTAATGAACTTGAAGACACAGCAATAGAAATGAAATGAAACAAAAAAGATTGAAAAGAAAATGAAGAGAGTGAGGTGTGGGATAATTTGAAGTGTGATTGAAATCCCCAAAAGACGGAGAAGACAGAAAAAATATTTGTAGGAATAATGGACAAAAACTTTCTAAATTTGATAAAAACTATAAACCCATAGGTTTAAGAAGAAAAACAAGCCCTAAGCAAAAGAAATATGAAGAAAACCACACTAAGGCACATCATAATCAAACTGCTCAAAAATAGTGGTAAAGACAAAGGTCAAAAAGCAGCCAAAGGAAAAAAGATAGGTACAGAGGAACAAAGTAAAGAATAATAGCAGATTTCTTGAAGGAAACCATGCAGCTGAGAAGACAGTAAAGCAACATCTTTAAAGTACTGAAAGAAAAAACTTGTCACTCTAGAATTCTATACCCAGAAAACATATCTTTCAAAAAACAAAGGTAAAATAGAGCCTTTTTAGATATACAAAAACTGAAACAATTCATCATCAGCAAACCAGCAGTATTACAATAAATAATGTGAAAGAAAGGCATTCAAGTAAAAGGAAAATAATATGAGATAGAAATATGAACCTATACAGAGGCATGAAAAGCATTGGATGTATGTAGGCAAATATAAAAGACTTTTCTTATTATTTAAATCTCTTTAAAAGATATTTTAAACATTTTAAATAATAAAATAGTAGTATGGGGTTAATAACATGTGCAGAAGAAAATGTATGATAATAATACTACAAGGGCTGGGAGGGGGGAAATGCAAGTATACTAATATCACTTGAACTCTAAATCAACCACTAAAGTAATAAAATAAAGAGTTAAAGCTAATAAGCCAACAGAAGAGATAAAATGGAATCCCAAAAATATTTAATTTAAAAGGCAAAAAAAGAAGAAAAAGAGAACAAAAAACAGATGGCACAAACAGAAGATAAATAGTAAAACCTAATCACATCAATAATCACATCAAATGTAAACACTCCAATCAAAGGCAGAAACTGACCAGGCGTGGTGGCTCATGCCTATGATCTTAGCACTGTGGGAGGCCAAGGAGGGAGGATCACTTGAGGTCAGGAGTTCGAGACCAACCTGAGCCATAAACCAACTCTTAATAAGTTTAAGAGAATTTAAGTAACACAAAGTATATTCTCTGAGCACAACAGAATTATTTTAGAAATCGTGGCCGGGCATGGTGGCTCACGCCTGTAATCCTGGCACTTTGGGAGGCCGAGGCAGAAGGATTGCTTGAGTCAGGAGTTCGAGACCAGCCTGAGCAAGAGCAAGACCCTGTTTCTACTAAAAATAGAAAAATTAGCTGGGTACAGTGGTGCGCGCCTGTAGTCCCAGCTACTCAGGAGGCTGAGGCAGGAGGATCACTTGAGCCCAGGAGTTTGAGATTGTAGAGAGCTATGATCACGCCACTGTACTCTAGCCTGGGTGAAAGAGCAAGACTCTGTCTCAAAAACAAACAAACAAAAAACAGGAAAACTTCCAGAAGAAAACATAGGAGAAAACCTTTGCAATCTTTCTTTAGACAAAGATTTCCTAGATATGACATTAAAGTACAATATAAAAAGAAAAATTAGTCATTTAAACCTTTTCAAAAATAAACTTATGCTCTTCAAGAGACACTGGTAAGAGAATAAAAGGTAATCCACAGATGGGGAGAAAATATTTGGAAGTCATTTATCTGATAAAGTATTTGTGTCCAAAGTATTTAAAACAATTCTCAAAAGTCAGTAATAAGAAATAATCCAATTTTTAAAAATGGGCAAAAGATTTGAATAGATACTTAACCAAAGAAGATACACAGATGGCAAATAGACACATGAAACGATGTCCAGCATCATCAGGCATTAGCAAGATGCAAATTAAAATCATGAGCTACCACTGCACATGTATTGAAATGCCTGAGGTTAAAAAGACAGACCACACCAAGTATTGTCGAGGATGTGGAGGAATTGGAATGTTCATACTGCTGTTGGAAACCCAAAATAGTACAAGTTTGAAAAACAGTTTGGTGATTTCTTTTTTTTTTAATAGTTTAATGTATTTTAATAGCAAACTTACAGGAACAGCACAGCAGACAGACAACATTAAAAACATGTGCTCGCATGTCGGACAACGCAGTTAGAAAAGTATAGTGAGTGGATGGAATCTACTGCAGGATAAAAATGCTACAAACACCATTTAGTTGCCATTGATAAGAAATTTACTTGCTTTAAAAAAATCCAAATGCTAGCATTGTCCAGAAAAATTTAACAGGTTTATTTATAATTGTTATAAAGTTGAACTGCTGAAATTTGTTCACTGAAACATTTGACTTGCATTAATGCTTCGCATCCCTGCATTTATATTAAAAATTCACACACAAATGAAAATGGAAAAACTGCCAATACCTGATTTCTGTCCCCTATTTTTCCACTCACAATCATATACTTAGGTACCTTTTGACCTCATGGAAAAAAAAATATCTAATGTTCAGAACTACCAACAACAGGAAGAAGAGAATTTTTTTTTTTTTGAGACAGAGTCTGGCTCTGTTGACCTGGCTAGAGTGCTGTGGCGTCAGCCTAGCTCACGGCAACCTCAGACTCCTGGGCTCAAGCAATCGTTCTGCCTCAGCCTCCCAAGTAGCTGGGACTACAGGCATGTGCCACCATACCCGGCTAATTTTATATAGTTATTGTCCAAATCATTTCTTTCTATTTTTTAGTAGAGACGGGGGTCTCGCTCTTGCTCAGGCTGGTCTCGAACTCCTGACCTTGAGCAATCCACCCGCCTCGGCCTCCCAGAGTGCTAGGATTACAGGCGTGAGCCACCACGCCCAGCCTTTTTTTTTTTTTTTTTTGAGAATGAAATGTTTTCCCATCATAGTGGATTCTTAAGCACGTTGTCCATGTATGCGGCGTGCTAGCTGGATGTCTTTTGGCATAATTGTTACACGTTTGGCATGGATAGCACACAGATTGGTGTCTTCAAAAAGGCCAACCAGATAGGCCTCACTTGCCTCCTGCAAAGCACCAACAGCTGTGCTCTGGAAGCGCAGATCTGTTTTGAAGTCCTAAGCAATTTCTCGCGCCAGACACTGGAAAGGAAGTTTGTGAATCAGAAGTTCGGTGGACTTCTGATAATGTCTAATTTCACAGAGTCAGTCTGGCGATTTCTTAAAACGATAAACATACACCTACCATAATATCCAGTCATTCCACTCCAATGAATGATAAAAGGGAACTGAAAACACATGTCCATAGAAAGATTTGCACATGAACAGCCATTACAGCTTTATTTGCAGGAGCCCCAAAGTGGAAACAACCCAAAGTCTATCGATAGGCGAACAGATAAACTTTCACACATTGTCAGTGGGTACAGCCACTCCGGGAAATAGT